TAAAAAAAAAAAAAAAAAAAAAAAAAAAAAAAAAAAAAAAAAAAAAAAAAAAAAAAAAAAGTGTCATGCATTTCGACGAGTAATTACCGTCAACATTGCGTGATTGGTTGAATCAGAACTCGGTGCGCCAACAAATATACAAACAAATATGCGTAAGTGCCACCCCCGCGATGAGAACAAATTACAGCTGTTTATTTGTATATGTTTAGGCTAATGGCGTAAGTCTACCAACAAGTCGTTTGAAATCCTTCACAGGACTCACACATAAAAAAATCGCTGCTCTTCGTAATTATTACTCAGTAGTTGGTAAAATAGTCAATATAACAACTAACGGTTTCAGTTTAGTCTAGAAACTTGAACAGAACATACAAGCTTTGAAATAAACGATAAACTCGGAATTTCGTGGAAAAATTGTTGAAGTACAATTTTCGAAAAGTCTAAAATCGAGTTTCATCCGTCGGTCGATGAGCATGTGCAATACTTCATTACAGCATAACGGTTTTAATAATACCGTTGATCCGTTATCGTTTTCAACATTCCGTCTATTACGCACGTGCAATCGTTTAATGCTACCAAATGCAGGTGATAAATCCCGTAAACATAAATAAATACAGTTATGGGCATAGAAATGGTACATTTTTTTTACGTCGAATTTCTAAAGCTTTTACGCAAGGTTGCATCGTGATGAAAAATTTCACGGCAATCAAAAGCTTTCTATCGTTTCGGTTGAAAAATGTGTAAATATTAACGTTAAACAGTTTTCAAAATAAATTTCATTTCGTTTTTATCCGAAACGAGAGACTGTAGTTAATATTAATCGATAACAGATAATTTTAAATCGTCACAGATAATGTTAATTGTTAAAATTGAAATGTGCTGTTAAATCATAGCAGGCAGCCATTTTAAAATTAATATCAACGACGAGGTTATGCGGCTTCAACGTTAACGATTTCACTTCGTTTTGATAAAAGGGCGAGGAAACGAAATGATTTCATTTTGTTCAGTTAATTTTTCAACCACTAAGTTTATTGAAGTTTTTCTGAAGTTGGTTCATCACAATAAATAATAGGATAAGCTCAAATTAGAATTCATTAATAACACACAAAAAAAATAATGTCAATGTGGAAAAGGCAGTGAAATGGCACAATTTACAAAAATATGGAAAAATTAAGTAAAATTGTGTTTTTTTCAACTGTTTTTATCCACATTTAATCTTTAGCATTTTATGCGCTTGCGGCCGCGGTAGCTGAGTGGTTAGCATTGCGTACTGCCATTCGGAAGGCTCGAGCTCAAATCCTGGCACGGCCAACATCCAAAAAGTTATAAAAAAATTTATTTAAATAGAAAATTAAATTTAATTTTCTAATGTCGGTCGTCCACCCGGCAGGGAATGCCAACCCCTCCGAGTGTATTTGTAACATGAAATAAAGGGGCTCCTCATAAAAAACCATCAGCCGTTCGGAGGTGGCTTAGTATAAACTGAAGATCTCTCCTTTGTTCGAAAAAAACATTAAGACCCAAAACCACAAATTGAAGGAGGAGCTCGGCCGGAAATCACTTTAACGGTTTCCAAGCGCCAATTATATATTATATTTTTTGTGCTTCACACCACTCATACTTTCCACGAGTTTCTCGGGCCGTAATACAGAAGTTAGTGAAGAAAATGGTGCTTTTGGGGGCAATTTAGTGATGTGAAGAATAAAACAAGTGTTAAAGAAAAAACCTACACCGTATTTTGCACAAAGCCTTAGGACTTAAGGCTTATAAAGTCCAGTTATCCCAAGAACTCAAGGCTGTCGATCATCATGAATGATTGGATTCTTGAAATGCATGAAAATGATATGGAATTTCTTCGAAAAATCATATTCACTTTTGAGGCTCATTTGAACCTCAATGGCTACGTCAATAAGCAATGGCAACTGTCACATCTGAGGCTCGGAAAACCTAAGATTCATTATTGAAATGTCTACTCATCGTGTAAATGTTTGGCGCAGCTTGTTTTTCGAAAATGATGCTGAAGCAACCGTTACGATGAATGGATCGAGATACAATTAACGATTTTTTACGGCCAAAATTTTATGGTATTGATCTGGACAACTTGGGGACTCTACTGGTTACAAAAACAACAAAACTATCGATATTTTAAGGGAATAGTTTCGGCACCATTTTATCTCTCGAAGGCGTGATCGCAATTTGTCATCGAAATCTTGCGTTTTAACACCTTGCGACTTCTTCTTTTAGGGATGGATGGATGGACGTGGATGCAAGACCTCAAAGATGGATTTCGTGATGCTATTGAGCCCCTAAAGCAGCCACTTTGTGATTTGGTGGTGGAAAATTTCAGAAAAAAAGAGGATACAGCCCTTTCAGCGTAGCCGTGGTGGCCATTTGGCTAATATTGTTTCCCATAATTTATGGCATATCTTCCTCTTGACATTTGAAATAAACATGTGGTCTCTTCACAATGTTCTTTTCGAGTGGAAGAAGTGGGTTTTTCCTTTAATCCCCTTCGCTCGGTATTTTTGTGTCCATTGATTTGTTTATATCAGATGCTATCTGACGCAATGACTGAAATGGAGCATTTTGTATCATACGAAGGCACATCTGTCTATCGAGGTCATGGCTTTCGTATTTTGCTTTGGCTGTGTTTTCACAGTCGGTTGTCAAATGTTTTCGAAAACTACTCAACCGATATTAATGAAATTGCCCATAGGTCTTCGAGGAATTGGACGAATTTTTTTTAATAACAACGATTTCAAAAAAATATTGATTAAATTTTACCAAAATTTGCATATTTTGTAAGAAAACAATGGCAAAAAACCAATTGTCACAATCTTTCTTTCGCCGGAAATGACGTCACAATAGCGAAGTTATGAATATTTTCCTTTGAAAATTTCAGAATGTATGTATATATTTAAGACAATAAATAGTTATAATAAATTATTTTATTTTTAAAATAAAAATTATTTTAATATTATATTAAAATCAAATAAAATGGCATAAGAATTACGACTGAAAAGTTTGATTTTCCACGTACTTATCGAAATTTTCTTGTAATCAGTTAACAAATCAAAACAAAAAAGGCGCCTTCGGTCCGGCTTAACAATTTTTACTTCATTCACGCATGTTGCTGTCACAAAATGATAATGGCGACATTTATATATTAAAATATATAAAAAACAGAGAAATCATTAAATAAAATATGTAATTTATTATGTATTATTATTTTATGTAATATTATTTCCAATTCTTTTATCAAACAAGCAATAAATTTTAGTCCGTTGTTTACCGGAAACCCAGACTTTTGAATTGAAACAGCTGAATAAAACACTGATTTATTTGAATGTTTTATAAAGTTATACTTAAAATTTATTTTTTCCTACATTTTCAAATTAAACAAAAATCACAACAGCTTGCCCCGGGAAAATGATATAATTCAAGACAGAATGGGCAACGTAATTCACAACGGCATGGAAAAGTCGTACAATCATCTTCCGTATACTTATCGATTTTGATTTATCTAAATCTGTACTCTCATCCGATAATTCAACGAATTAGGTATTCTGTATCTCTATATTAAGGTATTTGGTTGGCTGATTTACAGGTTTTTTACAGGTTTTCATATTTTGAAGCATTTGAAGCAAAGCTAAGAAATTCAAGTTAAATAATTATTTTTTTTAAATTAAGTGTAAAATTTTCAATCATAACTTTCATTAGGAATTGGAAAGACTCTGGGTATTACTATTGTATTTTTTCCTTCAATTTCAATGAAAATCGCACCTACAAACCTAAAACTAACTTTTTTTTATAATTCTGGAAAATAAAATTTAATTATATTTACTTTTTTTCCCAATTTCGGTACGAAACGATACTAATTTGATTTGAGCATATAACGGGCATAACAAGGATACCAACGTAGTTATTATCGTATTTTCCGTGTTTACTGCATTTTAATGGATAAGTAGTACATTTGTTATACTTTTCTGCAATTTTAAAAAATTTACGGCTTGAGTTGAGCAATTTCGAGCGTTGCGTTGGCGTCAGCGTTGCTTATGAGGAGTAGCTCTTTATTTTGCTTTTCCTTTTCGCTTTCAAATTACTGAATGTATTAGTATTTTCGATATTTTTTGCTTATAGAAATTATTACTGTCGTCGATACTTTCTTTTTTAACATTTTTTCTTTCTTTTTCAACAATATCCCGTCAACGATACGACTCAAAAGACTAGTATATGATCAATACTTTCATAAAAAGTTTAGTGTGTTTTTATCGATATTTTTTTTTTTAATAACTATCTGTTGACCGTAATACCGCAACGAGTTAGGAATTCTCCAGCAAAGTTGTTGGGGAAAACGTTATAGACAATGCTCAATATATTGGTGATAAGTATGGTTTGGAGAATATTTCACTTCAAGTATGTATATCTGATGCCCTTAAAGCTAGAGATGAGTTCAATTTCTTTGTCCAATCTAATTTTAGTGATGAAAATATTAGGTTTATTACGACTCCTTTACTTATACTACTTATTGTATTTTCACCGGGCACTTGGAAGTAGTTGTAAGTGGTTCTGCTGTAGTCAAATTGTCTGCTCTCGCACCATTAATCCATAATTACTAAATCATGCTCTTAATATTTTCATTATCTTGCTACAGATACGCAAAACTACTATAACACACCGAAGAACGCTGGATCCACTGCCAGCGATCCCATTCCATCGAAATCACCGTTATTGGATATAATCGAACCGTTATCGTTGGCTGATACCGCAGACTCCCTTGACGTGGAATCTCCCATCGATGACACATATGATGAGAATGAGCAAAATGGAAAAATACATGTTTTCGGTTTACCATCCACAATGGACCGTGATATATCGGTTAGTTCTTCTATAACAGCGCAACCAATATGCAGTAATCCGGCATTACCATTAACTATTCCTCCACTCGGTATGCTGCCCATTAGTGGGACCGCATTGCCACATAATAAACCCGTATTACCGGGCTTTGAATATATTTCACCTACAAATCATCCACTTGGCATAGCAGATTTTCCTCTAATGGAACTGAATAGAGTGGGTGTATTTCCCGCCTTCCTTCATCGACGTTCACGTGGCGAAAAGCGTCCAATTCCAGATGAGCAAAAAGATGAGAAATACTACGAACGACGTAAACGGAACAATGAAGCTGCGAAAAAATCACGAGATGCCAGAAAAATACGGGAGGACCGTATTGCTTTCAGAGCAGCCCTACTAGAGCAAGAGAATTCTATTTTACGAGCGCAGGTCATGGCACTACGAGATGAACTGCAAACTATGCGCCGCCTAATTAGTTCGGGTCCAACATCTGCAGCCGCCTCCGTGATAGGTGCTAGTAGCAGAGGTTTAATTGCGTTGTAAATATTAAATGGCAGACTTTGTAAATTGTAAATACATACATATATAAATGTGTTGTAAATATTAGTATTAAATATAAATCAATGTTATTGTTAAAATATGTATTTAAGAAATATTTAAGAATAATTTAAAATTCGCTATACGTGCAGTAGGACGGGCACTATGAGCGTCTTATTACGTTTGGTTTTAGTTGACTCAAAGATGACTTCGCTTTTCCAATTGCCTACCTAGTCCAAAGAAGCAGCTGTTGGTAAGATTAACTGTACGTAGGATTAAAAAAAACTGGAAATATTTCACTCTATAGCGATGTTGTCACTACAGAAATTCAAGCTAAGCTGAACTTGCTAGCAATTCCCGTTTCGATTTTGTGGGCTTTAGTTATCGGCCCCTCTTTCTCGCCTCACCTTTCGCCACACTGCCCTCCACCTATGTAAGTCTGAACACCCTTTTCAAATGGACCATCCTGCTCTGGATTCATTACATTATGTCTCTCAGTCGTTAAATAACTTAATATCCACTTTTCCAATTGTTCTGCCATCTCGAACTCTATCCTTTCCTTCGTTTAGGATTAGAAAGTGGCACCAGATCTAATTTCTTCCTTTTCCTTTCGATAGTGTTGCCTTATTGGGTTTTAACTCTGCCACTCACCACTTGAGTCCGCTCCTTCTTCGAGACACCAGACGTTTTCCTGCCTATTTCATGCGCACTTTCTTCGCTGGATTGTTAAATAAAAGTCCTAAGATTTGTTTTACAATTTCTTAGTTATTGTAAGGAACGTAATCGCCATTTGTCGCTCTACTGTACATCACGACTTCTTTTACAACCCTAACATGCTAGTATTATTGTTGTTATTGTTGTAGCGATTAGTCTAACCTGAATTAGGAGCAGAGAAGGACTAGGAAACGAGCTGTTTGACGGTTTCAACTACTACTTTCACAGCATAGTATTATGCTCCTTAACTGGCGCGATGCTCTGGCAAAAACAAGAGGATTCCCGTCAAAGTCAGAGGGGCTTGCACGTATCTTCTAGAAAGTACGCGTCTTAGAATGTAATGAAAATATTGTTGCGAAAATGCGAGGCGAATGTCAGATGAAAGAGAGAAGCCGATAACTAGTACGTTCTAGAAACGATAAAACAAGAACCTTCCATAGCGAACAATTCGATGCTTCTACGCTTTCGTCTGCGAGCAGCCGACTGCTATATAAAGGCGACACTCAGCTGCAAGTCAAGCAGTGACAAAGCAAATTGGTTGGCGTTAACATCAGTGAAGACGTAAAGTGAACGCGTTGGGAATTACATTTAAGTAGAGGAAATTGTGAAAGTTGATGTTAGTGATTATAAATAGTAAAGTGCAGTATAATTGAATTGTGAATTACTGAGAAAATAAAGGACATTAGATAGAATCTTTATAACGAAAGAAACTGCAAATTAAGTTGGCGAGTTTTTATTTAACAATCCAGAGATCGTACCCGAAGGATCTAGAAAATAATCGAGGTTGATTCAGTAAAATCGTAACAATATATTCGATTTACATTTCACGTTATATCGATTTTTCTGAAATGTACCTATTTAATTACCATCACTAAGCATAACATATGTTATCTCATTTGAGAAAGTTGGCAACAAGTATATACAAATGTGACTTTCAATTGTTTACGAAAGTAAAACGAGTCGAAAACAAGAAAATTAAAAATATCTAAAAAATGTTGGAAGATTTACATAAATTATTTGAAATGCACACTGCAGAGTTGGAGCAAGTACAGGAAAATGTCGCAAACTACCTAGTAAAAGTGCAGAAAGTATTTGAAAAAATTTATAAAAACAAAGAATCTCTCGAGGTAAATGACACAGTGGCCTTGATGGCGTACGATAAATTCTTCACGATTCTCACAAATATGCTGGACATGGCGCGAAAATTCAATTTTCATTTATTTATGAATGACTTGGAAAAGAAATCGCTACGCACATTGTATGAGGCATTAGATTCATGTGATCAAAGGGAGAAGTGTACGAATGAACCGAAGGCATTTACTGAAAGTAATGTAAATTTATCTACTACAACATACATGAAAAGCGACCAACGTAACATATTAAAAACTCTGAATGAAAAAGAAAGCGAAAAGTTTTCACACAATTGCAATAATGATTACAACAACTCATGTATTCCACGTTCAGAGGAAAATGACAGAAACAATAATGATGATATCAATCAGCAGATATCATTAAATATCTTAAGAAAGGATATATCTAAATACAAAGTTGGTAGCATATTAAATGGGTCAGTTACATATATAAGAGATTTGGACTCATTGAGTTTTTTTGTTTGTGATTCAGAATCTATTGAATTTCAAAAAATCGCAAATTTGAAAAGTATGTTACATTTAAAACAATACATTGATATTCCACCCAAAAACGAAATTTTTGGTCTTGTTCTGGACGACACAATTTTAAGGGCTATTCGACTAAATTCAAGCACTAATGAAAACCATGACGTACTGCTTATGGACTTTGGGGAAACCACGACCATGAGTGCAGCAGACGTTACATACCGTTTGCCGATTGATATTCAGAAAATTCCTGCGCAAGCTATGTTATGTAAATTAAATGGAATTTTCGGTCAGAAAAATACACAGTATGCAGATTTGAGATCATATCTACAGGAATTAGAATATACGAATACATCATTTTTAATTAAATTCAAAGAAGAAAAGTGTTCCATAATGACTTTAGATCTACTAAAAGATAACAGAAAAAAAGAGGCAGACTTACCAGAAAATAAAACGAAAACTGCTTCTACGAATCTTGAAAAAGTGGATGGTACAAATCCATTTCAATCTAATAGTAATTTTGCAATTGATGATAATGACGAAGCTATACCGCTTCGTGCTTTGCCATTATTTACAGAAGACAATAAGCGGCTTCCGAATGGTCTTACACAAGAAGAAATGGATATGTTAGCCGAAGAGCCACTAAACACTACTAATGCAATGACCGCCGTTTTAGGCTATAATCCTAAGGATGAACAACGGATATGTCGTTTTTATGATCCGAAAACTGGTTGCTGCTTTAAAGGTGCCAATTGTCGTCTAGAACACACCCCCCAACAACCAGATGGATGGACAAAGGACCGCATACCTACAAGAACTATAATTGAAAGTGTGACGCCAATGACTCGTTTTGCTGCTGGTATTATGATAAATATCACCGTTACACATGTTGGGGAAATTGAATATTTCTATGCTCAGATAAATGATATTGATAATCCAATAGAACCGCTTATATGGAATGATGATGAAATCCCATTTAGTATACGCTTAACAAAACCACCAATGTTATACGATTTGGTACGTGCACAATATGATGATACGCTTTGGTATCGAGCTAAAATAATAGATTTCGATGATTCTGGTAAAGTATTTAAAGTGTTTTATGTTGATTATGGCAATCAACAAAATGTTACACTGCTACAATTAGCACATTGTGATCGCTTAACAGAGCACTTTGCATTCCAAGCGGTACAATTTAGAGTAGCGGATATTATGCAAAATCCTGAAGCAACGGTGGAACAACGAAGCAACGGTATTCGTACGATTAATGCACTTATTCTTAATCATGCAGTCGATGTCAAAGTAGTAAATCATGATGAGGATTTGATTGTTCGCTTTATGGGAGCACCATATTCTTCAATTCCAAAAAGACTTATTTCGATGGGCTGTGCAAAACAATTCCATTCGAATGGATCAAATAGTTCAAAAGGCAATAACTCATTTTCCACAACGAATTGTTCAGTATAAAATATTTCTAGTCTTAATTTAAAAACTCCATATTATATGATTTTAATGTGTTCTCCTAAATGAAATCAAATTATTTAATAAAAGAATTTAATAATATTTATGAAATGATTAAATAAAAATTAAGTGTTTTTCAGCTTTACTTGTTTTGGGCAAATTTGATTAATTTAAAAAAAATAGATCTGAGGTAATGCATACAATTATCTATTAAACTAATTTTCGATTTTTGTACATTTCGATTATACAAATCTTGCGTATTTCACAAGTGTTAAGTCTGGCATATAGATACGTCACAATTGACATCTCTGCTTTTAACACTCAATAAAATTGTCAAAATCTGTCAATAGTGCAACCGCCAAATCTGTACATTTGTCCAAAACAGATTTTGTTTGGCAAAAAAAGACAACAATTAATAAAAATGCAGGAGGATCAGCCTATTTTGTTTGTAAGTAATTATAGAATAACTTTGTTAACACAACTAATTGTCTTCTCGTTCAAATCAGGCGGTTGTCGACCCCTTAAGCTGTCGGTATGCAAACACGCTCTCTGGTCAATTCGTTTCTGGTAATAAAGTAGCATTATCTGCTTACCGACCAATTACCAGTACCACAGTCGATGCACCAACCGAATTTGCGGGTAAAGATGATGTATTAATACACATGCTACAGCAGGAGTTCATCTTTGATGATCCCATACTACGCAGTCTTGTGGCTGAAGCAAATTCGACATTTGTTGCACTTCAAGAGCTTAAAAAACGCGGTTCCAAAACGGAATATATTAAAATATCACGCACATATCGCAGCATTGTACGGGCCTGCTTAGAAAAATTACAAGAAGCTACAGTAAACGCAGAAGAAAGGGACGATGTCGATGCTCAAGCCAAATATCAGCAGTATATTTCAATATTTTATTCTATTGAATGTGTTTGGCATTTAAGTGAAATATTATTCCTCGATCCTACACCGTCCAATGCGGTAGTGCCACAATTGCTTGACTGGATAAGATTTCATTTTCCTGCAGCAGAGCGTATGGCAACCGATCTGCTTTTGTTGGGTCGAGAAGCCAGTGACAGTGATGATTATTGGCCAGCTCTTAAGGGTCTAATAATTCAAGGGCAAGTGGACGTGGCACGTGCTTTACTACATCTGCATCCGCAAGTTGAAACTGCACACTTCAAATTAACTGATCAGATTTTGAAATCAATGCCCACATATACTGTAAGTGTTAAGTGAGCTTACGGTTATATTAACACAATATGAACTGATAAAAAAAATATCATATTCGTTTCAGCATCATGGTGGTACTTCGATTCAAAAATTCCGCTCTCAATGGCAGTATTGGCTAACCGACACAGAAAGAAAGGTTTCAGCGAATATCCTCGCCATTGAACCGAATCTTGAGGAACTGATACAAGTACGTAAAAGCATGTTGTAGGTTTTACTAGCCATAAACTGCAATTCCTTTTTTTCAATTTTTTTGATACAGTTAGTTACAGGAGATACGCAAATCTGGAATACACAAATACAAGAAAGCGAATATTGGTATGAATTTTTTCCTGGATATCTTTTCTTTACGAATCCTGCTTGTAAGCACTTTGAATTGGGCAACGCTGCCAACACATGGCTATCGCGTTGGGCTCGCCTTAAAGGGCATACTAGTAATGAATTGCAAATGAAACATCTGGATCGCGTCATACTCAACCTAATGGAAAACGACATGCATCAAGTGATCCATGCCATACAGTTGATGGCTGATAATCAATGGTTTGTAACGCATTTAACTGACCTGCTCTATAATTGCGGTCAATTGCAAATAGTGGGTGAAAATCAAGTCAAGTAAGATAATATACTATTAATGTAAAGTGTTAACAACATACATATACATATATATTTTTTAATTATTTTAATCACAGTGAATGCATAAAATTGCGTGATTCTTTGCTTTATGATTTTGGAAGTTCTCTAATGTCGCGTAACGCCTTGTGGCAATTAGGTATGGACTATCTGGATCATTGTGGTCAGGAGGGTGAGTGGTTTTTACGGCATACTTACATATTTATGTAAATTATTTTCAATTAATTTTTTAATTGTTAAAATTTAAGGTCAAGCTGCATTAGCATTGCTGCTCGCCAAAATACCTTTTCGTACAGAGAAACAAGCGTTGAAAATTATTGCCATCGCCCAAAAGAAAAGATTTTTCGAAGTTGGTAAGATTATAGTGTTATTATAAATAATACTTAGTCTAATCTATTTATCTATTTTTTATGCTAGAACAAGAAATATGTAAAATTCAATCGAAAAAATCACTCAACGAGCAACGTTATGGAAATGCTTTAGAGTGGGCTATACGCTCAAGGGACACACTCTATGTAACATCAATAGCAGACTTTCTATTAAACGTAAGTTAAAATTTTAATGAAATTTTAAAACTTTAAGAACTTGTTGAATTAATTTGTTTTTTTTTTTTTAACAGCATTATTCAAAAACCGGCGATATGCTCTGCCCAGACGCTATTGCCAATATAGGCGCCAAAATGTTCATCAGCCCACGTTTGGTATTTTTGGTGAAATATTTCGATTTCTACCAATTCTATCGTAAAAGAGATTTCCTTCCTGCAGCCGAGCTGCTCGTGAATTTATTAGAATCGAAGATTACGCCAGAATAGTAAGTAATAGAAAAATTAATGCACTAAAAAATCTTTCACTATTTTATGTTTATTTCCAGTTTTTGGCCTTCATTACTCATTGATTCCATTCCACTACTCGAGTCGAAGGATCCAAAAATACTCTCTAAAGAGACTTGCGCCATTTTACATCATTTAGAAACGGAATTGGTGCCCTTAATTGATAAAAAGAAGAAGCGTCTAGAAAAGTATCCCGATGTATGTTTGTTTTTTTTTTTGCTTTCTAATTTTGAAAAGAAAATACATATTTAATAATATATTTTTCAATTTTTTTTTTATAGGAACCTATTGGCATTCTAAAGGATTATCGTATTGAAAATATTGAGGAGATCATCAACTTACTACGTTTAGCTTGTGCACGCAATTTATCACGCGCCATTATAATTGAAAATACTGTTATGGGTTGAATACTAGTCTCATTTAATATTTATTGTTTAAAATTTAAACCTTAAATACAAATTGGTTTACACGTCCAAATTATTTTCACATTCAATTAATGTGTTGTTGTTTCTGATTGTGGCTACTTAATTGGCTCTTACATTGCCTCTCTGTTAGCATTTCGATAGAAACTTTTGTATAGTAAATATACCTTAAGGATTATACATACATTAATTATTGTAGGTAGGATAAAGTCAAGTGGTGTAATATTGCGAGCTTAAAAATTCATATAAACCAAAGTAAACTGACTTTTCTATTAAAAATATAACTCTTGCGATCTTTTTAATTTTTTTGTTTAACAAACACAAAAAAATATTCGTGAATACGACCCTATATAAACGACTAAACTTAAGATGAAGCAGTAGAACTACTTAGTGTAAAAAAAAAAATATTTATATATTTATTAAACATAACGCTTTCTATACTTATATTCTATAATCGTATATATAGGAAATTACAACAAAAGGTCATTTCAGATTCCACAAATTAGACTTAATATGAAATTTCTAAAGGTTCGGTTAACTCACAGTATCATAATTTGCTCTTTTGAGCTGCCAATTTTTAAGCTGCTATAATTGTATGAATGTATTTAATACTTGAGCGCAATGGCGCTGTCTATCTCGTTAACAATTTGCTGCCTTTTGTCTAACACTCGACCAACTGAGCGTTTACTACTTTAGGTAATTTTGTTTTATGTTATTTTTTATTAATACTACTGTAGTATTTCTCTTTCTAAAATCGTTACATTAATCAACTTTCATATCAAAATCATCAGTATGAAAGCAAGTAAATAATTTTCGCACAGTAGATTTTGTATTTTCAAAAAGCTTAACCGACGTTTACCCTTCAGCTTAAATAATGGTTTTCATTCATTTCCTTCATTTTCGAATAAAAAAAATAAGCACACGCCAAACACAGTGAACATGACGCCAATGTTGATGGGTGAAAACGCTGGAAACTTTCCGTCACCCAATATATGTGTGTATTTAAGTATTTTTAATACTAGAATTCTGCAATTTTTCATAACTGTTATTTGTAACGCATATGTATGTTTATGTATAAGTAGTTATTAATTATACAACTATGTATGTATAAGTGTATATGGCCATGATTAAGTTTCGATTTTTTGTTATATTATTTTAACGACTACGGGTATACACATTTCTTTGTTTTATACGTATATATTTATGTATAGTATTTTAATACTTTAAGAAAATAAGCGAACTCAAACACAAGAGTGAGAAGACTTTGAAAATTTTTAGAAACTATGAGAATTCTTTTAAGTTTAAGTAATATGGACACCACACCGTTCCTAAAAGCTTACAATACTTTGTAAGAATTTCAATTTAGAATCACTTTATCAAGTTGATATATGAAATGAGGAGTGGTGCGATCGTCTGTTTTATAAACACCTTTAACAAACCACATGGGATGCTGTATGTCATGCGCTTATTTTCTATAACAGTTTATCAATTTTTTAAGTCCTCGCATTTCTCTATGCCCATTTTCCGAAATATTATATTGCCTCGGTATGTAAAGTATTGTGTAGAAGGTTCTTAATATTTCAATTTAATTTAGCATTGGATGTAGTATTTGTTACACCACCGACTGAATTTGTTGTATTCGCACCAACAGCACTGGCTGAGACAGCACTAGCCACAGCAATCGAGCTAAGACGCGATAGTGATGGTTCACGCTTTGGTGGTACGATTGGCTTATTCGGGGGTATGGGAGGTGGTGCGCCACGAGCACCGGCTGGTGGTACTGTAACTGGTGGCACAGCAATTGGTACTGGATGTGGAGCTGTTGTCGCTTGCTCTAGCGAATGTGATGCAGCCGCAGCTGCAGCGAGTGCAGCATATTTACCACCTGGTGCACGTTGAATAGTGGCAGTTGGTTGCATTTTCACCGGAGAAGGGGATGGTGGTGCAACTGCAGTGGCTACAATGCCGCTGCCTACAGCACCGGTTGTTAAATTGCTTGCCGTTGAGGTAATAGCTGCTGATATTGCAGCAGCTACTGTTGTTGTGCTATCACCGATTATATTGTTGCTTGCATTGGCTAATGCCACTGTTGAGTGGGGTACAGCGGTGGCAGTTGATTGTGCCACCGCAGCAGCAGGTAGGGCGACGGCAACACCACTACGCAATGTCTGACCAGGCGCACGTGCGATACCTGTAGTTGGTCCAGAAACGGGTACACTTGTCACAGTTGCAGTTGGCTGCACGATCTTTGCAATATTTACCATTGGTGTGGCACAAGCATCATCTGAAAGGAGTTTCAGTTAGTTTGCTCTCTAAAATGATAATGCAGTTAACAAATACATACAATATACCTATGAAATGTTATGATATAAATGCTAAAAACTAGCAATAAAACAACAAATATGTTAATAAAATATTTAATAAGAGCAATTGATAAAGTGAACATAAAATATGAGGGTTAAAAGTTACCTTAAAATTGTGATTTAAAATATAATTCCGTGCTTTTTATGTAATTAAATTCTAATAAATAAAGTCACCTTTATAAATTGGGTGAGAAGAGGGTATCATTTCTTTAATTTTAATAAATAATGTTAGAAGAGTTTAGCAAAATTTTTCCGCTTGAAATAAAAATAATTCTTCAATTAAAGTTATGTAAATATGCTATCATTTTTATATATATTTGCACTTGCTCACCACTCAAACTTCTAGCTTTGGCACCGCCGACAAGTGTTGCGCTAACACCAGCCGTCACACTTTGTTGCAACAGTTGTTGCTGTTTCTTTAAAGCCTCATTTTCAGCACGTAACAATGTTATTTCTTGTTCCAATTCCTTCGCTCTGTAATTATTTATAAAATATCATATGAAATAGAAAAATACATTACCTAAAAATTTACGTGAATTTACCTGGCCTCTTCCTTGATAGTATTCAATTTTAGCGCTTTGCGTTCATTTTCAAATGCAGCTGACTGTTTTTCCATTTCCTCTTCCATACGTAAAGACTTTTTACTCTCTTCTTCCAGACCTTCAGCGATAGTGTCCGAACGTTGTTTCTCTTCCGCCAATATCTGTGCTAAATCCTCTGACCGTTTGCCTAGGGAAAGAGTTGAAATGATATCATACCTTTTTAACTTAAAACGTAAGCTATTATTGCTCTACTTACCTTCTTCAATGTACTTCATAAGTATTTTCTTTCGTTCAGCAATAAGTAATAAAACGATTTGTTTTTGTCGGTTACGTTCGTAATCTAAAGTTTCTTGCAATTTTTTCATTTCCTTTTCCATTTTTTTTAATTGAGCTCGTTCCTCTTCCAGCTCTTGCCGCAACTTAGTTCGTTCCAACTCTAAACCATATGTTATATCATCTCCCTGGGCTGTATCATGTTCATGCTTTCGTTTTTCTTCTTCCAATTCCTGCAGCATTCTTTGATTGTTTTCCAATGACTCTGTAAGTATATTTACCATTCGTAAATGTGTTGCACGTTGTTTGCTAACCATTTGATATTGCTGCTCCATTTGCTGTTCGATTATTTGTCGCACTTCCATTTCTGCTTGTGCCGCTTGGGTAGATGATTCGCGTGAAATCATATTGCCTGAAAGTGCGATTTTGTCGCGAAAAATTGCGGCATAAGGATCATTCGGTTGAACACGCTTTGTACGAAGTTGAGTTATGTATTGTTTGACTCGTTCGTTTCGTAAGGCAGCGATGACAACGTCGCGTGCCTGCAGCTCACCCTCCAAAAAATAAAGCATTTTTACAAGCTCACTATGTGGTATTTCGGTTCTGCCAGTAGATTGTCCAGGTTTTTGGCCTAAACCCGGCTTCATTGTCTGGAATTCGTGCGTTGCGTTTATAGTAGCACTATTGCTGCTGCAGGCACCTCCGCTACCCGCTAGCCCATTATCGACCAACTTTTCCACAAAGCGAGCTGTTCCACTATTTTCAGCGGCAAAAGGATCAAAAGAATTCTGCTCCATATTGGCGTGTTACGACTTCACGGATGAAAAAATTCAAATATAATATTATTAGTAATTTAATTAGGTGTTCAGAGCCGCTTTCTATTCGAACTTATTTTCACACACATGCTTTTCTGTACTTAAGGGAGCCTCACATATAGCAACTAATCTTCCATAATAAATTGCACCAATCAATTAAATTTGTTCACAGCTGATAAAATAAACTTCGAATGTATAAATTCTCATAAAATTTTCCAATTCTTTAAATTTTCTTTGTTGTCATCTCTATCTCCTTATGTATTCAATGAAATTTTAAAATGTCAAAAACATTGAGGAAAAGTGAGCAGGGTTGCATCTGACAACGTAGTAACGTTAGAATGAACTTGTCTACTGTCAACGGAAACGAATGCCCTACACTCGGGACAATTTGGGACAAATAGCCGGAAGCTATCGTCAGCATAAATTTGCCAGGCTATGCTTTTTATTAGATCAGCACACAAAACTCTGGTATTAGCGTCATTGCTCATAGTGAATAATGTCGTAAAGCCTACTTGTTCTGTCTGCTTCATTCCTCTACAGTCGTTTGGCAGGAAAGAATGCCTAAGATAGGGGTGCGCGGTAAGGTCGCCTCTGAGTAGCGCACCTCTATCGGGATGCTGCGGGGAGCTCCGTGGGCAATGGAGGTATTAGGGTAGTTACCCAAAGTGTATAGAGATGCAGAAAGCAGAGGCGTGAGAGAGCAACATAACGCAAGGTCCACTCCAAGATGGAAGAATGGTCGAATCGTCTATGGCACATGTAGTTATTATACGTAATTGATACAAATTTTTAATTTATTTATCAACACTTAAAATACATACTGTTTAAATATCTGCTTATTTTCTAAAAACAAATGGCTGTCTCAAATTATACGCAAAAGAGTTTCGTATTCTTTTACCCACCAAACGATCAACGTAAGGAACCAGCGGTGGAGTGCGTACATAAATACCTCGTGCATGAGGCGTCCACGCTTTAAATTTACAATCACTGGCATATGGTACTCTTAAGCCAATCCAACCTGCCGAAGACAATACAATCTCAGAGCTGATTGCATCTTTGTACTTTCCGACCAGGTGTATATCCTCATTCTTACATTGCAAACCGGGCCATCGCGCTAACCGCGCTTCGTCGCCATTAGGCAAGCCCAAAATTTCAGTTCCGAGATATTCTTTGTATAATTGTTCCGAGTTTTCTGTCTGAGCAATCACAAGCGGCAGTTGCATAGAACTGAATACAAATACTTTAACCCAATCAATGTCAACATATTTACAATTTATGAAATCCAATCGGGCCAATCCAGCCAGAAAGAGACTCATGCCCGGTTTGAGACGTACCGCGCGAGGAACAATCATGTCATGCGGTGTAAGTTGCTGTAACTCCTTTGATGTAAGTAATTCTGTAAATTGCTCTGGATGCATTACCCCGGGTGTGTCGTAACACCACTTGGCCTCGCGATAACGTTGACTCATTTCGTTCAAAGTCGTTATTGGCTGTGTACCAGAACTCATAGCAAAAGCATCAATATCTTCTTCTTTATTTATGAACGTCCGACCGATGGTCCCTACAAGCCGAGCTGCTTTAATATCGGGAGCCTTGTACTTTTTATGACGAGGTAAAGATTTTTCCGTTTGCTTAAGTTTACGTTCTGCTGTTAGACGACGGTAACGTTGAAATATTCTTATATCCGACGGACGAAAAATAGGAAATTTAAGCAACTGTAGAGTTGTCCCAGGCCAAGGACAAGTCGTTGCTCTACGTACTAAGTCCGTAGCTTCTGGGCGGCAGTAATCGGAATTTAAGAGAATGTTGAAGAGTGAACTTTTGCCAACATTTGTGCATCCCACCAGATAAACGTTTCCTTTGTAACCCCATACTTTGTGAAGCTGTGTAATTAATTCCTCAATACCGTAACCGGTTTTAGCAGAAATTAAACTGATATGTTTAATATTCAATGAGTCTAATCCACATTGCAACATTTGATCTTTCAAACAGCTTTTGACGTGGTCTAAATAATTATTGTGATCTCGAGGTAGCAAATCCACTTTATTTCCAACCACAAATAATGGGCGCTTGTGTCCAAGAACGTCACTTATACCTGGCCAAATTGAACATGGAAAATCTAATAGATCCACCATTACAATAGCCAAAGCATATTCGTCTTTTATCCGAGATATTGTTTCCACATAGGACTCGGGAGTTATTTCTATATCCAACGCAATATTATATTGTTTTAGAAAGTGACATCGCTGACAAATTATACTTTGCAGTTCTTTTACAGTACGTCCCTTGAAAATCTCTACAGGTATGAAGCCTAAATAAATTAAGAAAACTGATAAAATTAAATAAAGAGATTCAATCAAATTGTTTATTACCAGGCAAATTAGTACGTGCACAATGCAAATTGGCCCCACATCCACTACATGGCACAGTTGATGCCGGTATGCTTGAGTCTGCTGTACCATAAGGAGGGTGAATTTCATTCTCAGAACCCTCATAGAATTCATAGTCTTCCATCCAATTTCTTGGGAAAGGATCATTTCCATTGTCATCGATTTTGGATTGTGTCTCATCTATCAAAGGTTTTTGCTGCAATTGACGTATTTGTTGTTTTTCCTTGATAGTTTGCTTATAATTATACGCGCGCAATTGTCTATACCCCATATATTCGACTTGCTCTTCCAATTTGTTACTATACAGAAGTAGTGGATGATGCCCATACCTTTCCTTTGCAAGGTTCCATTCAGCTTGGCGTAGAGGTAGTTTTCTTTCAGCGTCTGAAACATTTGAGCTTTGCTGTTCTAAATTTTGACTGCAAAGACGCACGTTGTTCTTAATATAAATTTTAAGATTTGATTTTATTAATTTACGTAATGTAAACATTTTATTTAAAAGTTCTCATTCACATAATTTGATTATAAATTTATTGGATTCAATTAACACAAATATCTAATTCACGTGCAGATTCATAACACAAAACAGCTGATAGCTTTTTTGCTTTTAGCGGAGCCGAAATTTTGATGAGGGAACAGTTATAGGCTCGACTAGGTTTGTTCGTTAACCAGTTCATTAAAACTATATAGTTTTGAAATTTACTTTACTATTTCTCTGATATTTTCCCATACTTCTAGAAAATACATGCGAGAAAATTGTGACTACATATATGTGAGCGTAAAGCGCACTGCTGGCAAGTTTAGTTTAGAGTTTAGAACTCGGTATTCACAACATTGGTAATTATAATACTTTGCTGGTGGGCATATAATATAAATAAACACAGAGGAATACGAGTAAACGAACTAGCAGAAAATTTTACAAAAACATCGGCAGCAATCATGACTATAGAGCCTGAACCCTTATTTCCATTTTTTATCAAGCAGTATATGAAAAATGAAGAGCAGAAGAGAGACAACCTACTTTTAGTAATGTTTTCCGTTTAAAAAAAACTCGATAAAATTAATTTAGAAATAATTATAAATATTTTAACAAGACATTGCAGGTTAGGGACTCAAGAATTTACCCGCGTTAAGGAATGCCTGTCATAAGAGGCAACTAAAATCCAATAGTTCCCGCGACAATCGGGTCTTTATACCGGATTTTTATCCGGTCAAAGACTGTCACTCCCGCAACATTCCCCAAAAAGTACTTTGGGGAATAATTTTGCGGTTACAACAACAACAACATAAAACATGCGTAAATAATAAGCTAATACGTATATTTTACTTACTGGTATTGTAAGAAGGATCCGGAAAATTTGTACAACTTTAAAACGAATGTGAAGGCAGAAATTTAATAATCCATGAACGCTCTATATCTCATTGAATTCCTAAAGAAACTTGCTAATTTTTTGTTTATTTAATTTTTCGAAGGCATTATCGTTATATTAGAAAAATCATCTCTGTTTAACTGTTCCCAATGTAAACTCGTTGTAAAGCAAAAAATCGAAAGGAAAGAAGAACGACTTTCATTTTGTTTTTCTCGCTGAAACTGAAAGGCGGTGACTGATTTGAGTATTGTTTTCCATCGGTTACGACGTAAAGTACCAAACAAGCGGAATTTTTTTAAACTCCAAAGCGCTGTACGTAGTGAAAATAAATAACGAGTATTATAAAAACCAAATAGAATAATTTGTTAATATAAAAAAATATATATCTATTTTAATACAGAGAAGAAACGAAAAAGTAGAAGTTACAAGTGAAAGAGGAAAAGAAAGAAATAGACAGTCGAAAGGAAATCTTGGAGAAAAGTAACGGAAGAAGAAGAAATTGTGCGGTGTGCATTTCTCATTTGAGCACCTTAAAAGACGAAAGAAAAAGCAAGCCAGCTAGCATTAGAGAAAGGAGCAAACCAGCGTGTGCTTAAAAAAGTATTGGGGAAAAAGGTAAGCTTAGGAAACAGCGATGTGGTGAAAGCAAGAAGTGAATGACGAAATCCTCATGTATGCATGCATACATGAATTTTAGTGTGAAACAAAGGAAAGCGAAGAAATTAAGTGAAATACATCCTGTGCGGTTTATGCTGGTAAAATTAATTACTTTTTATGGATAAATTCCATGCTGATGTTGGAATTGTTAAAAAAAAAATATGTAATCAAAAGTGATAAGAAACGTTCTCACTTTGTTGAAGTATCTTGGAAATTGCGAAAGCAGTTTCTGTGAGCAGGAAAATTAAAGAGTGCACGCGTTAATATATATGTGTGTGGCTATGTTTGTGCATTTCGGTTTTGAATGCGTGTGGCTGTGCAAATGGAGCAAACTCGCTGGCGTTGATCGACAGTGGATTTGGTAAAAAAGAAAAGGCATAGCGCCAAGAAATTGAGAGAGAAAGAGTAGTCGGACAATTGCGAATAAGCAATAAGCAGAAGTGAAGTGAGCGTAGTTGAGAAAAAACGAAAAATGAGTCCAAGGCGACCTAAAAAACAATTTCTATGAAAAAGTGGTTTTTCTAGAAATGTAAGTTGGGCTTTTATTGCTCAGTTGTTGTTACTAAACTACCGTGCTGCTGTGGCTATTTATCTTTGTATTAACACTTATGTATACGTATATCACAATCGTCTGATGGCCATGTTAAAACCGTTGTTTGGTTGGTTAACTTTGGCGGCTGGTATTGCTTGTGCAAGTGCAATATTAATTTGTAGGGGAAAAAATATGAAGTACGCCAAAGGTGTCGGCAAACAAGAAGCGCATTACACAATTTCGTTTTTCTTTTTATGTTTTCAATTTTCTTTTCTGGTAATGGAACAAAATAACTAGCATTAAGATGAAATGAATTCTAAGCCTTAAAATTAAAAAAACATTTACATAAATATGTACATGGCAATGTTATTAGTTAAATAGGGGACCTCTCACTCAAAATTACACTTCTTGTCTTTGTACGGAAATGTGTACATATATATTTTTGCTTCGATTGCTATTAAAAACGCCAAATTTGTGATCCTGCAGGTCCTATGGTTGACCTTAATGCTGACGTTCTGGTTTGGGAGTAATTGAATTTAGTTTAATGCTTATGAACTTTAATATAATTACTTATGGACATGAACAATATTCACAAGGAAATGAGCAGTAGTGCATTACCGGGCTTTCAATATATTTTGTCGTGATATTGTCAGGTTAAGGAGGATCCCCGTAAGCAAAATTAGGAGATGTTATCGTTGAACATCCGAAAAGAAGTACCTGACTAAAACGGTGCTATGTTGCAATTTAATCAAGAATTGCTGTTATAACCACATAAGGTATTCTTACCTTAGGGAATCAAGCATACAGCAAAGAGTTGCCCAAAGCAGCAAAATCAGTAAACTGTCATTTAAGGAGCAATACCATTGTAAATATTAAAAAAAATCCATCAACCCTATAGAATGAATGTTTTTTTTTAACGTGTTCAAAATAGATATCTTAAAAATTTTGAAGTCTTTTCCGAGCGCGGAGAGCCCCTCTTCCATATATGAATGTATAAACATGGATTTTTCTCAAAAAGCGTTTTTTGAAATCGACAAAGATCATAACTAGAATATTTTCCATAGATTTATTCGAGTTTTTCCTAAATCTTTATATGTTTTCGAAGAGAAACGTAGGGGTTTAAGAAATTGGATGTTGATTTTTTTTGCTTTAAAAGAAATTGGTTTTTTTTTCAAATGCTTGCCAATTACCCAAAAAAAATTGCTGTATGACAGTCCTCGGACGGATGAAATACTACGTCGAGGATACGAGTTCAAGAAATAGAAGTCCATTATAAATAGGGGTTTCGTAAATATAACTTCGTAATGTAAAAGTATATTCTCTTTTATCGCTTGTAGACGATTTTGAAAAGCTCGTTAACTAAAAAATAATACCGTTGAGCCTCGTTGTATTAAAGTTAAACTGTTACTAACTCAAGTAAATAGGTACATATATTTACGATGCTTAGTTATTTGTACATTTTTCAATTCTTTCCCACGAAGCAAATTTGCCACAGTGCTTAGTGATTGTGGTATTAGTGTCTTTACTCTTCAAGAAGATAACCTTCATATTTTTGACTCATCAAGTGCTGTGGCAACGGTAATACCATAATATAAGTGTAGTACCACCAACACGTCAAGATGAATCAACGATTCCCGCCAAACAACGAACTGCCGCAAAAATAGCGGTAGTTACAATACAACTGAATTTATCATGATCAGTTAATACGAAACCTAAGCAACTTCTATGACAATGCATGCGTTTGACTTCTCATCCATCTGGTTATTTTCTCAGTATAAATATGTAAATTAGAGAGAATTTGTTGCTCATTGCTACTATTGTGCTTTTTACGAAATCTTCTGTTGTTGAATGCTTGCCTAGTCGCCTAGTCACGCTGTTTGTATTCTTCGCTTTTTGTTTCTTGTGTTGAATGGCGCAACTTTTTACCACCAACAATAATTTCGAACAGAAAAAGTGATGGTTATTAAGAAATAGAAAAAAAGAGCAAGAGTTAGTAGTGTGCTTTTGTGCTTTCATGTTGTTGCTGGAGTCGTCGTCGTCGTCAGTAGTTGCGAAAGAATTTCGAGTGACGGAAAACAACTCTCGAAACCAGTAACTGCCGACGAATGCATTATCAACACTGCACTCAGCACATGCATTACTACACTGGTGGCAGAATTAATAGGGACAAAAAGCTTTTGACTTATGCAGTTCAAGGCCCAAAAATAGTATTTGTCTAACATACCATGTTTGAATCATGAAGCCATTGAACAAGTGTACTTGGTAATAATAACTTGTGTTCATTTAATTTTCAGTTAATTATTTTGGAAAATCACATAAATTCTATTTAGAATCGGTCAGCAGCGCTTTGAGGTGGAAAAATATATAATAAATTTGTTTAAAAAAGTAAAATATCGAATCATATTGGGTTAATAAAGGTTTTTTTTTTTTGAAAGAAATATTGTCTTGGCTTTTTTTTTTTTGAAAATGAAGGAAAAAGAAAATCACAGTATGGACCTCGCTTGGCATTGCAACTCCTTTGACCAAAACATAAAGCAAATAGTTCAAATCATAGACGGCTTCTAAAATATGACATTTACTGCGATTCATCGCTTTAAAAAAAAACTAAAGGAAGGAAGGAAAAGCTTCAATTCTTATCATCAAACCGTTTGTAAATTGCGCAAAAGAAAATTTATTTAAAACGTCCAACGACTTCTCTAATTCTGTTTTTACGATAATCGACAACGGACATATTCGTTTTGTTAACATGAAGGAAAGGTGGCCCCACAGCTTAACATCGTATCAAAAGATGCGAAAAGCACAAAGAAGAATGACAAAAACAAATAAATTTGTTATAGAAATTATTTTTATTAAATGAATAGCAATGCATTACAAAGTTTATCAAAAACATGTTATGGTTTGAACCTTTAAACATTTTAATAGTGTTAAGATTAAAAAAATATTGAAAAAATATATTCTTACCTGCTTCTCCGTAGACAATGCTGTTTTTCTTCTTACTTTTAGTTGACAATCTAGTTGAGAAAGGATTTCTTCAACTAAATCCGGCGTTAATCTATATATCTGCCGCAACTCGGTAGCATCCAAATGATAAGGATCTTCAGCTTCTCGACGCAAACTTCTATCCAATGGTGAAGGGTAGGGTACGTCTTCATCTTGTGATAAATCGTATGCCAACTAACAACTTAAAAATATTCGTCGCTTAGTAACGAAATTGTAAAAAAGTTATATATAATATAATAAGTACACCGAATATTAAAATCGCTAGAATTATCGCTAAGTCTTCTTTGCGATCCGAAAATCGGTTTACTATTCTTAGCGGAGAATTGCGAATATCGTTAAATATATCGCTAAGTCTTCTTTGCGATCCGAAAATCGTTATACTATGCTTAGAGAATAGCGAAATCGGTAAAAATCGTTATAATACGATAGAGAATTCCCCTACTGATTTGCCAAAACTGACTAAGTGTGCTTTTGTCGTATAAAACCAAGATAATGTGTTTGAGATCGGACAGAAAAGTTACGTAAGTCGGATAAACAACGATGTAACCATACCCGAAAAGAAGATGCCATTAGAATGGGACAACACTCCAATCATTTCTAATATTCGTGTCTGTAATGGTTTATAAAGCGAATACCTTACGGGATAGCTCCGAAAGTCGCCGTTTCCTAATTCCATGGAAGACCAAATCTTTATTCAAAAGTCAGAAAGTGTACATATAAGAATCAAATCTGGAATCTAGATCAGGAAAAAATCCAAGGAGCATTGTAAAGTATTCTGGAGGAGCTACTTATGTGCCGTACATGAAATAATAAGTAATGAACGAAACGCAAAATACTAAAAGTACATGGTTGAATATAGTCGTCCCTATTAATTCTGCCACCAGTGTATGTATATGTGTCGTACGCTGTTTTTAGGTTTGCAAGTATTTTCTGTGTAGGAGCAATAATATTCATAGTAACATCACTTAATACTCTAACAATTTTCTACGCTCATGTATTTCAAACATTTCACATATACAGTGGTACTCGCAACCATAAAAATTGAATTTTATATTTCATATTAAAAATTTAATAAGATAATAATCAAAAATAAAATAATAATAAAAAGTAAATAATAATAAAAAATAAAATAAAAAAATAATAAAAAATAAAATAAAAAAATAATAAAAAATAAAATAAAAAAATAATAAAAAATAAAATAAAAAAATNGAAATAAATCCCCGGTTAGAAGTTCCACTGTTAATTATATTTTGTGCATTTCTATGCAGCTGAAATTTTCATTCCCGCTGTCACATTGTGAGAATTTGTGTTATTTTAATAGAGATTCTGAAATTTTATGTTACAATGCACCCCCTGCTGCATCAATTTTCTCAAAGATGATTCTTCTCTATGAAGTTATCAATAAATTTGCACCTTCAACAGTAGTTTGAAGAAAGTGTTTCTATTCTAATTTTATCTTTTATTTACTTGGTTTTTTTTTTTAGAAAAAATTCAAAAGTATTAACCAACTTGGAGCGTTTTTGTTGCTGGTAACTTTATTTTACAATACCAAAACTCAATTGACAGGACTTCATACATAAAAAATCCTTGGTATACTTATAAAAAATATGGAAAAAGGAAATTCACTGCTAAGCGTTGGACTTAGTACTCATATATATAAAAAAAAAAAAAATAATAAAAAATAAATAAAATATATTTAAAAAAAAATAAAATAAAATAATAAAAAATAAAATAAAATAATAAACAAATAAAATAAAATCCAAAAAAAAAAATAAAATAATAAAAAAATAAAATAATATAAAAAATAAAATAAAATGAAATAATAAAAAATAAAATAAAATAATAAAAAATAAAATAATAAAAAAAATTATAAAAAATAAAACAATAACTACAAATAAAATAAAATAATAATTAAAAATAGAATAAAATAAAATAAAAATAAAAAATAAATTTCTCTAGTAAAATTTTTATATTATCATGCTACTCAGTATCGTTTGACAGAATTTGTGTTAAAATAAATTTTCTTCACCGTGCCATGAGTATTCTTTGATTATTTTTATGAATATTTGGTTTTATTTTAAGTTGTAAATTAGTTGATATAAACGAATTTACCCCGACGTTTAGACATGCTTGGCGTAAGAGGCGACTAAAATTCTGTAGAGCCCGTAGCCGCTGGGGTTTCAACCCGATCCGTTCCAAATTTTTAGCCATCCAAGGGCTTGACTTTCGCAACATTTTTGTAATTACAACAACAACAATTAATATAAAAAATTACATCTTTTTCCATTTATACAATCTCTGAAGAGTTTTTTTTATTTATAAAATGAAATTGTTGTTTTTTTTTTATAAATTATTCCCTCGTAAATTTATATGTAAAAGTACTTTTATTCCACTTATGTACGATTTGATTTTTTTTATAACAATAACAAAAAGTTCAGTGTAAAAAAATAAAAAAATTAAAAAATTCCAAAGTTTAAATGTGGGCAATTTTAATATTTATTGCATTGCAGTTCATTATTTATGCTGCCTTTGCAATTTTACACAATTCGTTGTATGGTTTTTTGAAGTCAGCAACCAACATGCCCGTTCAAACAAAAAAAAAAATTCCGATTGCACAATAAAAGCAAAAAAAAAAGGAAAAAGTCTCGCGTACGGAAAAATAAAGCAGATTTAAATTTAGCTTAACATTTTTCCATTTTTACACTCTCTTTCTACTACCTCTACCGCTGTTATTGCCACACATTCTCACGTTTCATATTGGAGAAAAGAAAAAATAAGCTCTAACGTTGTGCGCAGGCGTCTCGACAGAGATCAAAGTAGCTAACTGATGGAGTGAAATAAAAATAACCTGGCAGTGGGTGGGTAATAAGCTTAGGCAACACCTAATAAAAATACACGTTGGGGCTACATGGGAAACACTTTTTACTTATATGCATATAAAAAGTTTTGCAAACATTATTGCTAACGAAATGTGTATACATATATGTATGTATGTATGTGCATGCATATAAATATAATTTTGAGCATATAGTGCCACTAGAGGAGGATTCAAAAAGGACTGGTTCTCTTTAAATAACAAATCAAAGATCTGAGGTTAGGTATTCTTAAATGTTGTTACCTGTTGACCTTAACGGGGTTAGGTCGCCGAAAGAGTGACATCCCTCGGCCGGCTAAAATCCCTGTCATTTCAGGTGCGTAGAATCTAAGCGGGGTTCACGTAGCCTCTACAGCAACAACAACAGGTCTTCCTAAATAGCTTCATTGCGTCTTTGGGTCCTTAGAGGTAATTGATTTATAAATTGGATAATTTTTGTATGTTGCATCCCGAAAGATTAAAGATATGTCTGCCTATTGTGTGATATTATTTCACCAAAAATATTAAAACAATATTTGCCTCAATTGAACTAGTCGCCTACGTGTATATAACTAAATTCAATAAATTTACTGTAAACTAAATCACATATATGTATGTATGTAAGTATATGTGGCAATGTTTTGGTCTGCCAACACGCTGAATCATACATTTGTGGTAACTCTCTATGTGCTCGTCTGTATGTATGTATGTGTATACTTCGATAATGCAGTGCAGCGTAGTGTAGTGGGTACATATGTATGTATGTGTGTATGTAGCCAACAGCACAGAAATCGCCTTGAAAAGTGAAAGGTATTTTTTTTTCGCGCTTGGATTGGTACGCCATACGCTTACTCCGCGCACTCTGTCTATTATTGCAAGTGTGGTTGGGCTTATTTTTCTCCTTTTACTTTTAATGCTTTCATGCCAGCACATATGCCATGCCATGTACTCGCACATACATATGTATAGAAAGAGCGTAAATAAATACTGGCATAGATATGCATGGCTTTTGCGCTTGGCTCATGTCTGGCTTGAAAGTTTTGTGGGAGCTTCCAGTTCAGATCCATTGTTGTATGCATGTATGTATGTATGTATTTGGAATGAAGCAATATTTTACTTCGTTTGTATGCACGATGTTAGCGCAATTGCATTTGCTATGCGCTCATTCATATACATATACATACGTGTATGTATGTATGAACATTAGATTATTTTGTGGAGTATTCATTGTGTTTATTTGACATTTTTCGCTAAACTTTTCGGTAAAGAAGAGGTAAAATGAAATTTTTGAAATCAGCAAACTAGTATTATTAGTTTATTAGCGAAAAATGGATTTTTTTTAATTACTCAAATTTATCATACATACATTTTGCATGCCATATCTATCTTTATTTCGACAAAAACATTTTGTTTTGATGAAATTTATTTATTGTTATCAACCGAATAAATCAGATTGTGTTAAGCATTTCAAAAACACCACTAATTTTGTCGATTCTCAGCGGGTCTTCATCTTGTAACTGCCCCTTGTGATGTAAATATGTATGTTTTCAAATTGAAATACTGCTCAAAATTTCATTATTTACCTAAACAATGGAAAAAAATCAATTAATATTAAAATTCACTGTGAAAATTTCATCGAAAAATCACCCTGACTGATGAGGTCAATTTCCACCTCGTCTGCTACGCCAATAAGCATTTTTGTCGCACCTGTGGCTCGGAAAACCCCAGATTTATTGTTGAAAAGCCTCTCCATCTTCAACGTGTTACTGTTTGCTGCGGCTTATGGTCGGAAATAAGGCTGGCGCAGCCACTTACGGGCTTGCTCTGGACTACTTTTATTTCCAACACGACTACATGTTACCCAAGACATACGAAGCCATCGATCTTTTAAGAGAAAAATTTCTAGCATTTGTTTACTCTCGAAGAGGTGATCACAATTGGCCACCGAGATCTTGTGATTTTACATCTTGCGACTTCTGTTTTTGGAACCTTGTGAAAGAGGAGGTCTATGCCAACAGGCTAACGTTTATTTGAGATCTCAAAGATGAAATTCATGAAGTTATTGAGGGTATATAGCTTAAAAAGAATACGGTCCTATAAGCATCATCATTTCTATTCTTAATTGAATTTTTTCCTCTACACATTGAAATAAACATCCGATTATTTATTTTGAAAATTGCCATTTTTCTTTGAAGAACAAAAGAAAATCTCTGTTTTTGTTGTAGTCACCGCAAAAACATACCCCAAAATTAGTTTTTGTGGCCGGTTGCGGGAGATATAGTTCTTGACAATATAAAAATCCACGTCATTCCGCTATAAAGATCCGACTTAAGCGGAAACTCATCTTATGACAGGCATACGTTAGCGCGGGAAAGATGGTGGCAATGTCTTAATATCGTAAGGCTTCCATTTTTTAAAACCTTAGCTAAAATCGCAAAAAATATCAGATTAGAAAAAAATCATAACCTGCCCAAGCAAGAATAAACTGGAAAATTAAATGCATATATACATGCATATGTACATACATATATGTACATACATATGTATAATAAACATTGCCCTATGATGTTTTCAATTTCTTAAAGAATCTAATTGATTGGCGACCCATTTAATTATTCTTCTCTGCTTGCTTATGCAGTTTCATGCATTTTTTTTTTTGTGCAAATAAAAAATATTCACTTACATTTACTTACACATGTGTGCACACCATACGATTGCTAAAGATTTTCAAGCGTCCAAAGAGCATACAACAAAGACAAAATAATAATAACAATAAAAAAATACGTACAAAATTTAACTACAAACGAGTACTTTGAGTGCTTTGCGGAATGCAGCTTTTTCCTGAACTAAAAGTAGATTTCCTTGAGCGAAAAATATTTTGCATTTTACTGTTTTTGTATTTATTACTGAGCACTACTTGAAGAGCATTTACAAGAGGATTAAAAAGAAGAATATTTTTTTTTTGGTTTATTTAAACGCAATTCAGTGTATGTATGTCTGTACGTGTGTGAGAGCGTAGCTTTCTTAACTTTTGCCACTTTGAAGTATGCACCATTTCGTCAAATCCATGAGTACTGCGTGATATTTCAGTACTCTCTTCCATTGCATAAATTAATTTTCATTTAAAATTGAAAATCTACTTATCATATACCATCATACAAATGTACATACAAATGTACATGCATATATTTACAAGCAATTTTTTTTTATTTACAGAAATTTCCAACATCGTCCAGCGCAACAATAACAATATATAGCAGTGGTAGCGGAAATACTCTCGTGAGTTGAATTTTACTGATCGCGAGCAAAAAATCGACACACAGTACAACTCGTAACTGTGCCCTGTACACCCTGTGAGTGGAGTGGCGTACATGTAATAATAGTCCAAAGAAAAAGCCAACGTGAGAGTAATTTGTTTTCGTGTTGATTTTTGTTTGCTTTGCCGATTATTGCAAATTCTCTTCGCGCTCAAAAGTGAAAGAAAGAAAAAAAAATTTAAACTAAAAACATCAACAACACTATTTGCCGTTTAGCAATATAGCAGAGATACAGCGAAACTAACAACTACATGTAAAACGTGAATTTAATTGAATACGCGGAGTAGCAGCATCTCACCAGCGGCAGTAACAGCAAGACTAGTACAAGAGAAATACCAACAAAACTTCCGATACGACGATATATATATATATAATTTGCATTAGCTTTTGTGGAGCGCGCGCCCATGAGTGTAAAGAAGTTGTTGTTTGTATTGGAGTAAAAAAAAAAAGCGTTTGGTGTTGATTCTTTTTTCCTTTTAATATTCTTGTTGTCGTCGTCTCTTGACCCATATTGGATTAATATTCCAAAGCAATTACAACCGTTTTTTGCAATAAGCTAAATTAGAATATATATTTTGAGAAAATTATTACGCAAATTGAAAATTTCAACACTCGAAACTAGTTTTCTGCAAAGGGTTAACCGCCGAAGGGTGTCATTGAACTGATAATTTAATTTGTAATTTTTTTCTGACGTGCGTTCGTAAATAAATAAAAAAGCCGCTTTAATGATGTCGTCTGATCAACAATTTTTCCTAAAATGGAACGATTTCCAAACGAATATGGTGACCTCGTTCCGGCATCTGAGGGACGAGAAAAGTTTTACAGATGTAAGTATGAAGTATTATTTATATTAGTTATTTATATTTAATTGGCTTTTAAATTACTTGACTGACGTATGTAAATAGCGAGAGTAAAAAAAAAAATTATGTAGAATGTGGAAGATATTTCGTGTGTATGTATTTATATATATAACATATCTTTATAACCAGTGAAGAGATTTTCGTATAAGAGGTTTTGTTTTGAACAGAAAATGGAACGATACACGCTTCAACAACGCATTGAAATTATTAAAATTCAATATAAATATTTCATCGAAAAATCAATTTCGCTGATGAGGCCCATTTCCACCACGATGGGGGGTACGTCAATATGCAAAACTGTCGCATTCGGGTCTCGGAAAACGAGATAAATTGTTGAAAATTCACTCCATCTCAATGTGTATCTCTTTAGTGCGGTTTATGTACCGACGGGGTCATTCGGCTTTAGTATTTTGAAAATGAGACTGAAGCAACAGTTACGTTGATTGGATTGCGCTATAGAGAGATGATTAATGGTTTTTGGATTTGGCTAGTATTGAACTGAACAACGTTTGGCTACGTGCCACACAAGCAATGAAACCATCGATCTTTTAAGAAAAAAGTTTCCGTATTTAATACCTTGCTACTCTTTCCTTTGGGTACAAGCGAACGATGAGGTATACGCCAACAGGCCAACGTCAATTCAGGACCTCACGAATGGAATTCATGAAGGTAATGAGGACATATAGCAGTCACTGCGATTTGGTGATGCAAGGCTTCATAAAAACGATACGGTCTCGTAAACGTAGCCGCGGCGGCCATTTTTTCTGATTATTGACATATTTTCTCTTTACATCCGATCATTTACCTCAAAAAATGCCATTTTTTCTGATTATTGACATATTTTCTCTTTACATCCGATCATTTATCTCAAAAAATGTCATTTTTCTTTGAATATCAAAAAAAAAGAATGGAATGGAATTGGAAATCCCATAATTACTAAAAACCATATTAAGACCACTAAAGCGATTTTCGGTCGATATAATCCTCAAATTATTTTAAGATGCCTTCAAACGGAAGAAGGATTTTTATGAGCAGCCTTCCTAACTAATGTCAGAAATACGCTCGAAGGACTTTACATTGTCTGCGGAGAGCGATCGAAATTACATACATATATCTTTTTATTTTTGTTGTAGCAGTTCGTTACACCTCATTTATTATTAAGGTAAAGCTAAAAAACTGCATCGAGATCATTTAGCTGAAAAAAGGAAAGAGTCTCTTTTGGTGTTAGCTGAGTTGGTAAATACGGCAAGAAGGTCGTTAGTGCCGATCGGGAACATGATGGTACTAACTACTGAGTGACGGAGTGGAGATGACGGACATTGTCGTTAAGCTCATTTGTTCTTCGATCATTGTTTTATGGTTTTATGTTGTTGTTGTTGCTGTTGTTGTTGTAACCGCGAAAATATTCCCCAAAGTACTTTTTGGTCGGATAAAAATCCGGGTCGGTCCGGTATAAAGACCCGAGTGTCGTGGGAACTATTGGATTTTATTGGCCTCTTACGACAGGCATGCCTTAACGCGGGTAAATTCTTGAACCCCTGACCCGCATTGTTTTATCACTCTCTTCACTGCTTCTAAAAGCATTTGTCAAATTTTAACGGTCGTGCCTGGAAGATAGCATTATGGAATACTATTTCAGTAAATCCACAAGGCGAATTTGAAATGGAATCGGTTTTCAGCACATGGCAATTTCGCGTACGAAAAACGGAAACGGACTATTTTAAAATAGCTTTTCAAATAAAATTAAAATTTTAGCCCTTGACTGTGTTAGTTAATAGATTTTGGTCTTCAAATATATACAAAAATTGTCTTTCTTGAAGTTTGAGCATATTTTCCCCCCCTGAAAATATGTTATACTAAGTGGATTAACGAAAGAAAATACTATAGCAGCTTGCCTAGCATACCAACAAATTTTCGAAATTAAGCTTCTTAACTTTTGTATCATTTAAGTAAAACAGCAAACTAAATGAAACTACAAGAACATTCATTACCTTGATCGTATCTTCTGTTATTGTTGTTGTTGCTGTTTCTTTAAAGTGAAATACAAACATTTTGTTATTTTGTTGTGTCATTGAGCCATGAGTTTCTCTTTTGGCTTCTATCTTGTCCATTGCTTTCTTGGAAGTTTCGCCATTCAGCGTTTATTACTGCTATTTGTTGAGTTGCATTTATTTTTTTTTAATTTATTTTTTTTTTTTTTAATTTATTATTTTTTTTTAATTTGTTTATTTTTTTTTAATTTGTTTATTTTTTTTTTAATTTATTTTTATATTTTAAGGTTTTCAAAAACTAGAAGACTGCTCTGTAGTTACATATAAATACATACACACATATGTACGACCATAATTTAGATATCGCATACTATTTATTTACAGCATTAGTGGTAATTTTTGATTTCTATTCCGTACTGTGTGAAAAAACAGACTTTTAGTTCTAGCTCGCCTATAAAACTACTATTTTTAAGTATGTACGAGTATATTCAACAACCAGAAATTTGAACAATAATAATTTATTTGCTGCAGTGAATCATATATTTATTAAACTTTTTCACACTCATACAATTACAGGTAACACTTGCCTGCGAAGGACAAACTTGCAAAGCGCACAAAATGGTACTCTCCGCATGTAGTCCGTATTTCAAAGCACTCTTAGAGGTATAAATGCATATACATTCTTCTATATTGAATGTTAATATGAGAAAAATAATTGCTTTGTTTTTTTTTTTCACAGGAGAATCCTTCAAAACATCCAATCATCATATTGAAAGACGTCTCCTACATACATCTGCAAGCTATATTAGAATTTATGTACGCCGGCGAAGTAAATGTCTCTCAAGAACAATTGCCGGCCTTTTTAAAAACTGCTGACCGCCTCAAGGTGAAAGGTTTGGCAGAAACTCCCAGTTCCATAAAACGGGAAGGTTGATGGTGGTAAATAATAAATAATTAAATAAAACAAAATGCGACTATATATACACGTATAAATAATAATATTAAAAAAAAAAAACAAAATAGGTAAACAAACTATGCCTACAACTCTATATATGTATGTATAAGAAATGATTTATGATAAATTTAAATGAATCTACATAAAACTTAACTGGTTTAAATTTAATTATTTTAAATGCGTAACAGATCATTTCTAACTTCTATTTGATAATTTAGTAAGCTGCTAAAAAATAAATAAAAATACCACAGTGCACACACACGCATATACACATTATATTATGTAATGACCTACTTGCATTCATCTTTGTCTTAATTTATATTTACGACAATTATGGTTGAGTGGAAAGGATAAGACGTATTCCAAACGGTTTATATATATATTTACTTTTAGTAGATTTTAATTTAAAACTATCCTATAATAAACACAGCACTACTTAACATTTTTCGTTATTAATACGCATAAATTCAAAATTTCAAATTACTCTAACCAATTCAATCGCCTTTACTTCATTTATATATAAAAAAAAAATTTGTCAAACATTTGTACTTTTTATGTGTAATTATTTTCTTATATAGACTTATTTATGTATGTTTCTTAAAAGCACATTTGACTTCAATAAAAATAAAAATTAAAAAAAAAAAATACAAGAACGCACTAAATACCATTAATAGGCGAGTAAGTGAAATTTTGTAGTATATAAAATAATGATAAAATAAATATAATCGATACTGTAGAATGCTATATAAATCGATTTGAAAATTTGTAAAAAGGCAAATGATTAAACGGGGTGAATAAAAAAATAAATAAAAATAAAATAAAATAAAATATAAAATGCTAAGAATGGGAATGTACCTCCTGTTTTATATTATAAGTATATAGTAAGCTACCTATTTAGAGTTGCAATTATTCGTATATTTATACCATATACATACATATATACAATTAATTAATAATATAGACAGACCAACAGAATTGGTGAGCGCTAGGTCATGGCAGCAAAAGAGAATTAGACGCATTTGCAAATAAATAATAAAAGATTAAGGATTTGTTTTCATTTCAGTGGTTTGCGTTTGCGTGGCAAAATTATATAAATTATACAATTTAGTCTGTCTAAATTTTGAAAAATCAAATTTGAAGAGCGTATCACACTATTTTCCAAACTTGTATACGAATTTCAAAGTAGTTCAGTGTTGCATATGTATGTATATGCACTACTGCATGAACCGAACGCTTTAACTGTAGCACTTTCGCTAAGGAAATTATTTTGCCCTTTATAAAATTAATTTAAATAGACAGAGAAAAGTTATTTACGAGTTAGAATCAGAACAATGTTTAAGAAAAAATGTTATTTATTTAAAAATCCCATCTGATTTGTCATATAAAACTATTGAAATCTTAATTCCATTTACGCTAAGCTCTTTGCTATCAACTTATCGAAAGTGCTATGTACATACATAACTTTTCTATGCAACCCAAATTGCTTCCAAAATACTACATACGTTCATTTTCTGAAAAAAAAAATAAAATAATAATAATGAAAACATATAGCATAACATACAACAAATATGACCCTATAGCTTTTGTAATATAATAAATAGTTCAAGTAATATAAAAATGTATTGATGATTTGTTTTGTGTTCAGCGTATTATGTTTGCGCTTTAATTTGATTTCGACGTAGCATCCCATACAGCTACATTCATATGTATATGTGAATACCTTTTTGCATAAATATGGGTATTATTCATACACAATTCTGCATCTCCTAATTTTGTTTGATGTTTTTTTTTTGAACAAAAACAATGGTGTGGAAATACAGAAGGAATTAGCAAACATAAGTACCGCTATTAACTTTTAATTTCTGCTAAAGCGTATTTATAAACAATTAATTACACTTGTTTAAGTTTATATTAAATTAAAAAACATAAAGGATCTAAAAAGAAATCACGCTATAGAAAACAAAATTTTATGTTTATATGCAATAAAAAAAATACTTGAATATAATTATAGTTGTATGAAAAAGATATATAAGAAATATAAATATATATATATATACATACATACATACATGTGAAAAATATAGTTTTTAAATGACAAAAATAAATTAAAACGCCGGAAACTGCTTGTTTTAATTATTCGCTGTATTTAGATGTAAATCATATGAAGAATATTCCGCCTTTTGCTGTAGGTTTAAATGTTGAGACTTTTTTTCGTGGTTGATAATCCTCAATTTATAACTCGATTAACTTATTTCGTTGTTGTTATTGTAGCAGCAAAAACATTTATTACGATTTATGGTTTTCAACATCTCGTAAACAATTCGCTTATCCATAAAAAGTACTGAAAATCGCTTCGAAGAACTAAACATGTGGCTTTATTATGAATTTAATTTAAAAAGATTTGTCACAATAAAAATAAAACAAGTGTGAATAATACGAAATCGATATTAAAATCTTTTTTTGCGGCTGAGAAGAAGTAAAATGACATCTGCATCATCATTGTGTCGTCACATCAATTGTTGTAGTTGTTGTTGTAACCGCAAATTATTCCCCGAATTGGTTTTCGGGGAATATTGCGGGAGTGACAGGCCTTTTGCCGGATAAAAATCCGGGTCGTTCCGGTATAAAGAGCCGATTATCGCGGGAACTATTGGATTTTAGTCGCCTCTTACGACAGGCATGCCTTACCACGGGTAAATTCTTAAGCCCCTAACCCGCAGGATCCGTCGTCACATCAATCGTATGTGCCCCTTGCAGGTCACTAAAAAACTCCTCTGAGGAACCGTCGTACACCCATTCAAATGATGACATTGGATTCATATATATAAAAACGGGCGCCAGTTGCTTAGCTTAGATATCTGATATCTAAGGAGGAGAGGAGGAGATTCTAAACTCGACATTATTGAAATGCATAAAAAATATTCAGTTGCTTTGCTTGTTGTTTGTATTTTTTACAAAATTCTTCAGTTGAAAGGAATAGAATAAAAGACAAATTTTATTTTCACATTTAAAATAATTTTTATTGCAAACAACTAATAAATAATATTCGGAGTAATAATATAAATAAAGAGAATATAGTCATTGCTTGGGTAAAACTAAAATCAAAATCGACATTTTAATGCGCTGATGGTTACATAGTTTTTAATATACTCTACACATACCGATTTACATAAGGTTTTTTGTTTCGCTTGAAGAGCGAGTTCAAAATCAAAATAAAATACACATATTTTTTAACTTTTTTCTTTTAGAATTAAGCTAAATGTTTCGCTTTTACGTAAGCTTTTTGGTTTTATACAAATACAATATATTGTGTTATGTGTGAAATCAATATGCACACATGTGTGCTCTTACATAAAAATGTTTTTAATCTATTTTCATAATAAAAATAACAAATTCCTTCATTTCAGTTATGTAGTGAATTTTCTTTTGATTCTCATTTTGATTTGCGAAATTATGCAATACGCTACCTTATGTGGTATATCTAATTTTAGTTAGTTCCTCGTCATAACGACAACGGTTATTTTGAAAGTTAAAAATATGTTTATTCCCCAAATATTAAATACAATGTTTATTTTTTTTTTTATAATTATGATTTTGTTGAAAGAAAATAACAATGTAAATGTTGATATTTCGTTTATTTAAAACTAATACATAGTTATAATAACTTAAACTTAATTTAATCCTTTCGAAAAGAAGTCTTCTGGTTTCATCAAATCATCAACGTAGCAGTACCATCTACGGTGAAATATATTAAATTATAATTTTGCATTTCCAAATATGTATGTCATATAATTCGCGGACGGCTATAGAGTCAGAGCCGACATTATTGAGGGCACAATCCTTTTAAAAGCTGCCAAAAAAGGACAACACCAATGTCATCATTAAAAAGAAACATGTCGTAGTGTATTTTACAGTTTCGTAATTTATTGAAAAAAAAAGAATAAAATTAAATAAAAATTAAACAACAAAAAAGTGAATTACGCAATTTTCTTATAAAAATTGTTGGCTCAAAAAAGTATCACATCTATTGAATAACTACAATAATACGTTTATAAATGTTATTAATGAGAAGGTAAGCAATCTGGCCCTACCTGCGCTGTGCTGCTAACATAATTTTGGTTTTTTTTTAAATAATTTCAGTTACGATCCATTTACTATTCTATGGCTTTTGTAAGGCCGTCCCAAGCTTTTCCACATTAAAGTTCCAATTATCAATAAAAAAAAAAGAAGATAATTATCACATATTATCCATTAAGACAGAAAGCATTCATGCCAGCGTTCATATTAAAAGGATCCATTTTCATTTTTTGTTGATTGTCTTCAACGGTTTTGTCGACATATTCCACCAGATTTGGACGTTCATCCGGTGATGGTGCAATGGGCGACCATATTTTTATATCATGATCGATCCCACTTGTTGCCAATAAACAAATCTCCGGATGTGGCTGCACACAATTAACAATCGAAACATCTGCTTTGTAGATAGCGCGTATTTTGCTAGTATTACGTTCCCAAATGAAAAAGCTTTCATTATCCGAACCAGCCACAATGAATTCACCATCCTTGCCGAAATAATTCGCTTCTTTAATGTCTGTTGTTGTATTGCAATGTCCCACATAACGTTTGCTATAATCCTTGGCTTTGCTACGCCATTGATATTCAGCATCGGTACGTTCTATGAAAGTGTAATGTGATTGTTCATTGGTCGGTATCGGTGCCGATTGTATTTGTTGCATCTGTGATTGTAACATTTGTCGATTATCTTTAATATCTTTGTGTAGCATCATGATGCCATGGTTATTCGCATAGCTAGGAAAACGTGTTATTAATTCTTTAAGGCATTCATCTGCCTCTTGCGACCTGCCAAGTACGAGTAGTGCACGAGCTAAACGAAAATGTGCCTTAATGTAAGAAGGATCTAAGCGCAATGCCTGATGACAATCTTTTAATGCGGCATATACATCACCATACCACAGTCGTCGCATATATGCAGTTGCACGATTCAGATATAACACCGAACAATTAGGAGCGAGTTCAATTGCTTCCGAATATTTTTCAACAGCACGAAGATATTTCTCATTTTCTAGAAAATCATTTCCCATTTTTTTATAACGTTCAATATATTCTGGCAACTTGCGACGGCTACTTGCCTGAGATGCGTCGCCAGGACTAATTACACTTTCTGCAGCTGCGGTATTTTCTTCGATATTCTGATTTCCAGTACTACTACTTAAATGTGGGTGCATTCCAGCCAACTCCATATCCGACTCGGACGTTGTTGCCGGTGGTGATTTGTATTCGGGTAAACTCAAAAACACGGGCTGTTCTGCGTTCTGCAAGTCGTACAAATATATATGCTCACCTCCCATGTTTACCAGCAATTCGGTGCCGATTGAATTGAACGTGAGGTATGTAATGGCACGTGTGTCGTGCTCGACAACTTTGCAATTGTCTTTACTTATATGACCAGGACAATAGTATGCGACGCAATCTCTAGGTATCACGCCATCCGCTGTGTCTATGAAATACATATTTAAGTTAGTTTACTGTAAATAATGAGAGGAAGTTACTATCACCTACCTGGAGCACTGGCTAATCCAGTCCCATTACTAATTTGCGAAGACACTGGTCGTATCATTCGCCTATCATATATGCGTGCATATGGATCATTCGCACCTACTGCTAAAAGTTCTGTACGTAATGGATTGACGGCCAGGCATTTGGCCTCTGCATTCGAATCAAGATAGGTGGCAAGACTTATCAAGCGTACACGGTTTCCTTCCGTGATACAGCGGTGCTGATCTCGAGTATCGAGCTGTAGAATTGAGCCATCCTCCCCCGCTGACCAAAAAACAAAAGGTGAATCCGGTGCAGTAGCTAAACGTTTTACACGACCAACGTGACAACTACAACTAAGTATTGCATCATTAGGTCGATTTATATCAAATACGTAAATTGATCTGTCAGCTGCTCCCGTTGCAATGAGTGCGTCATTGTGACGTGGTAAAAATTTCACAGAGAATATATTGCCACAGTGTTTAGTTGGTATATTACGTATGCAGCGTTTACGAAAGGGATCCCAAAGCATAACACAAAAATCATCAGAACCAGAAGCTAGTATCCGTCCATTGCTGCTCCATTCGAGACAATTAACACAGCCCTGATGACCACGCAGTGTAGCCTCCTGTTCGAGCCGATCAATATATGCCGATGATACTTGGAGTCGGCGTTGTACAAATCGATCGATACCTCCATATTGACGATTAAGCACTAACTCAGTTGCATTGGTGGGCCGCAAATCGTCCAGGTCATATTGGTAACGCGGCCAGCGCGAACCGAACATTATCTGACTTATTCACTTATTCCTCTTGTGGCAGGTATATCTTTTGTTTCCAATATTTTCGGTACTGTAATTTAGTGATTAGGGCCCAACAGCTGTTGTATTATAAGATGTTTTTGTTTACTACGTATGATGTTTGTTATTGATGAAGTATGTTAAATAATATTTATTTTATTCTACTATCTCTTACAATTGGTTATCAATTGTAAGATTCATTTACCTTGCTGTTGTTGTTGTTGTTGTATCTGAGGCTTTTTAGAGTTTTTTTTTGTCGGAAGGCACAAATTACTAACTCCTCCCTTGGTCGCCCTCTGCGAAAACTTCACTTAGTTCAGCTAATGCTTTGCGGTTACTTTAGTTATTTAAGTACATTTACAATTATAAACGCTTAGATATATTTTCACTGTTGCGTAAAACATATTTCATTGTATTCTCGATATTCAAAGCGAAGAAATTGTAATTAAATTTGACTTCGATCAAAATAATTCTCCTTTACGACGTTCTTTTTTGGTTTATTTTGGTTTTCAGTGGTAAAGTTGCCAGATGTTCTTTTAATTGTAAACATCTGCTATCGACAGTTATAATGGTCTAGACGTGACTAAACGAAACGGTGTACTCTATCTGATTGCGGCAATTATAATGGACGATTCAGAGTAAGTTGTGGAAATAATGAGTATATCTTTTTTTTCCCAAGGGTTGCTAGTTAAGAATTGAAAAGGTTTTTAATGATAAGATAATAAAAAGCACGTTTGAAATGTGAGGAATAAAACGTACTGGGAAGTCTTTGTTGAACCATAAAGTTCCCTTCCTTGATTGAGGCTCAGTTAATTCCTAATTATAACTTAATGAGCTCATCTTAAAGTCAGGATAAGGCAAATTATAAAATAGCACATCGAGAGCGACGATTGGTACAAAGCCATGGCATGGAATAGAGTTTGGATGAGGTTATATATGTATATACACCTCGAAGGGGTTGACTTTCTATAACTTTTGGACGTTGGTCGCACCAGTATTTGAACCAGGGTCTTCCGAATGGCAGTACGCAATGCTTACCACTCGGTTACCGCGGCTGCCGCTTGGACGAGATTTACTATTCATGCCTAGGAAGAATATCTAATTGGCTTTTCCGTCAACCTGCCGGGGAATATCACCTAAAATATTGAGATCACATCGCACGTTGCTAAACAAAATCATGACCCGAATCAAAATCACATCTTCATATCTCACCACAAGTTATTTTTCGGTGTTCCCAGCTTAGCTATCAGAGTTTATAATTTTTTCGTCTTCACGTGTTGTGGAGTTCATTAAATCTGCTGGATATGCGGCTACATAGTAATTTTTTTTCTTGCGTCCATGGCGCGCACTCTAGAAACGCGAGAAACCTTTGTGCAGGATGTGATTTTTACCAATCCATGTGGAGCAATGAGTCACGGTTTCGACAGCACGAAATGGAATTACCTCTACGCCGTTATGGCATTCCCACAAAATTTATACGGCTGTGTTAATTGACGTTAAGCAATACCAAAAGCTCCGTCAGGATGGGGAAGCAAGTCTCCGAGCCGATCTATACCAAACGAGGTTTCAGATAAGGTACAATCCGTGAGCTTGACTTTCTCAGGACTGGATAAGGTAGCGAAGTGTATTAGTTTGGTAGTGATCGAGGGCAAGATGAAATATCTCTTCTTATAAAAAGCAAAAAACAGTCATCGCACTCCACTTTTTACAAACAAAACTTTGCAGTTGTAGATAACTTCGCCTATCTGGTTCCTATCTTGGGAACAACTACCATACTCTACAAGTCGATCATCATTCTCGTCCTGCTATATGATACGAAGACATGAACGATGAGAAAGTATGATGGGAGCTTTTGGGAGAAATTTTATGCGTGAGATTTATGGTCCTCTGCGAGTTGGGAACGGCGAATATTGCAGCCGATTGAATGATGAACTGTAATGAATGAGACAATTCAGCGAATCAAGAGACTGTAGCTATGCTGACTAGGTCAAGTAGTTCGGAAGGATAAGAATACTCCAGCTTTGAAAGTTTCAATGCAGTACTCGTCGATGTAAAAAGAGTAAGAGGGTGACCTCCTACTGGGAATATCAGTTCATATCAAATTGAAGATAATCTTGGAGGTATATGTGTATATCTCAATATGCGATAGTGACGTAACGTAAATGTTGATTTCCACTGAGCCCATGAAAAAGACAATGAAAATAGGAGACTTATAAGGAATAAGAAGACATAGTGGTTTTCTATAATACGAGCATAAGCCTAGGAATGTGTTAGGTTACATTAGGTTGTTGTTGCTACCGATCTATCGCATCGATAACACTTAGGTCCCTCTAAGACCCCTTGTGACGCCAAAAATACATGACTATTTAACTTCGTTATCCAACCCTTTCAACTCACTCTTGAATCTCATTCGATCCATGACTATCTTCGATAGATCACCCAGCAATAGGGTTCCAAAATTTTGTAATAAAGCACTGCCTAAAGCAGGTTAGGCGCATTAGAGATGGATGTTTGTTTCCCCCTTCTCATTATTCTTGCAGCTACTGCGGCATTTCCTATAGTTTCGCTACATATTGTCCTAATACACAGTGGTATGTTAGGACCCTTATTACTTTGAACATACTCCTCTTTTGGTGGTGTAAATATCTCGTGCTCTCTGCTTATCCCATTTGGACAGCTGTGCTGGGATTTTCACCAGGTTGTAGTTTCATTCCACCTTGACGCAGCATGTTCATGTTGTAATAAGTAAATACCTTGAGAAGCTAGTGGCAAAAGTCATACTAATGCGCTTTTTATCGAGTAGAATCTGCTGATCGTACCTTGCCTAGCACGTTCAACAGGTTTCCTCGAAGTCCCTATGATCTGGTAAGTTAGGCCAGTACTTTATAGCTGCCTGATTGTTTCTGAATATGAAAATATGCCTGCGTAGCAATCCATACCTAAATGTAGGCCGCACAATTCCAAAGATTGACACTGAGCCTTATTGATAGTGACTGCAAACGCTAGTCGAAAAGGGAACTGTAGTCGCTTGAATTGAAAGGGGCTATCGGGGGGAATTATAGGAATACGAGGAATAAGGTTGTCTACACAGTTGCTTTGCCGCCACCATAATAGCAGATATCTCTGCCTAAAGGATACTACAATGTGAAGGTAGCCTGAAAAAGAGTTTCACTGGAGGATGACTTGAGAAAAAGAAGGTGTAGAATCGAGTTTATATTAAAATATTTTTTTTTTTAAATTGAATTTTATTTTCTATGTAGCTTTATATGTATATAAAATTATGGATTCTGGGTTTTTCACTGCGAAAACAAAATTTAAATTACATAAAATATATATTTTTTGTATAATAGTAATAGTTCTTATTTGAAAATAAGTAATCTTAATGTATGTACGTATAATTAGTAGAAGGACCTTAATCTAAATTGATGATATACATTAAAACTTCTAAGTGAGCTAAAGAACACTTCTTAAAGAGAAAAACTTAAGCTTCGAAACAATCCACCGACACTGTTAGACTTTGATTTTTCACACTACAGAATTTAACTTTACAATCTTATATTTACATACTCGTAATTCTACACAATAACCTCTAAAGCGCTATTTGCAAGCAAATATTAGGTGTACCCTTGGCTTGCTTGGCACATCCTCTATTGTTTCATGTAGCAAGTCCACAAGGTAGGCACGAAGTAATCTGTCCAATGCTCGTATGTTCTTGAACAATTTACTTGGGCATAATGTTCCATAGGATAAAGTGAAAACAATAGGCCATTTCCTATGATAAGTGTTAACCATACCATGAAATTACCAACTCTCTTTGAGAATGTACGTAGTAGATATATCATGGATACAGCGAGTATGCCAAAGAAGCATAACATAACTGGAAAGAATAATTTCAATGCAAATCCGATTATGTGTTCGTGCACCAATGCTGATATACCGAAAACCAGTAATGTAGCTGGTAACTTTGCGCCCTTAAATATATGATTGTATGAATCTTTATAGATATACTCGTAGAGCCAATCATGCACAACAACATTCCAATTGCGGAAGAAAACATCATAATATGATGATGTCCACCAATCTTTATAGAACATGCGATCACCGAAACGTAACAGTTCGGCTGTGAAATTCAACCAAGCGTGTAGAATGAGATAGAAGCCGCACAAGAATATTATATTATTTGGCATGATCATGCTGTATAACTTAAGAAGGAATGTGCGTGGACTTAACTCTTCCACTCCAATATTACTGAATTGCACTTTGATGTAACGCTCAAACATGTAACTATAAGCGAAAGCTATCGCAACGATTTCCATAAAGCGTGCCAAGACGAATTTCCAACGGATGTGCGATGTACGTGGATAGCTATCGCGATAGATGAGTGTCGGTGCGAAGAGAAAGTATAAGTAAGACTGAAAAGTTGGCAATCGTACGATGTGTGTTGATTTTTCATTGTCCTCAGTAGCATCCACTGCATTTGGCGACGGCGACGTATCCACTTTCAGTTTGCCTGCAAGTACGCGTCCCGCATTGGTACGCACAAAGGCATGCATTTTCATGAGCAGTCTTGTGGACTCGAGTAATAAAATCGAGGATGTTATAAATGTTAGATCCAGTTTAAGGCAAAGCACAGAAGCGACATAGCCCAATAGCAGTTGAGAGCTTATGTAGGTTATAAGGCAGGAGTGAGACCAAAAACTTTGTAATGCAGCTGAAAGATAAAAGAGAAATTAGAAATTAGCACGTAAAACAAAAGAGAATAGATGGATCAAACGAGTGAAGAATAAAATAAAAAGTGAAGTGAAGTGAAGTGAAAATAAAGTGAAGAACTGCATTCAGAAACATATGCAACAACTGCTGAACAAGACGGCGTACAGACAGGCACTTAACGCCATTAACCCAGAGTGAGTTAATACCTTTAAACACTCACTCTCTGTGAACGGCTTCCCCGGAGTCAAAACACCACCTAGAGTAGATAAAGAGCTTGAGCTGCCTCGAGAGTGCCGCAACTTAGGTCTAGATATTACTCTTGCCTATCCAGACTCGTCCCCGCATGACACTAACCTCAACTTTGTATGCCTCCTAAAACCAACACATCTAACTATCCTCTCCCTCTGGTCCGAAATCGTCGAAACAGCACGTTTGCTGGACATACTTAGATTACCTCGATTAGAACTGACTAACTAGCCTGCTCCTAAGCGGGTCGGTAAACAACGAAGGCGTGAAAATTTATTCACTATGTGCACTATTGACACCCTTGTCCAAGTTTTGGTAAGACATCCGAGTGGAGACTTGGATCATGGCAGAAAGAAGCTTACTCAGTGGAGTCATTAGTCATTGGGCTTAAAGATCCACTGAAATCTTATTCCAGTGTTCTTTCACCATGAGAGCGCCTGCAAGTGATCTCTGGTTTACAAGCAAGCGGCTCGTTACATATGGAAATCACCAATCACCATAAACAAACTTGGGTAATAGAGTTATGTACTGGATTTGGGAGACGTCAAGTAAAAAGTAAAAACTAGAAAGTAAAAAGCAAGGTTAGAACTCAAAAATTTTATGATGACGACCGCAGTGTTGCGATAGATGGAGAAGATATCTGGAGTTTATCAAGGAAGCAAGATGTAAACAGAGTGAGACAGAAATGCCAGAGCACTGAGAACGAAAACTGTCGACAAAAGCATACCTCACACTTCTAACCAAACTACGCTCTGTTCAATCCATAAGGGTCCCCACAATTTGTGCCAATCATCGTGTAAAAAGCTTCCTCAGTATCGTATACCAGGTTTTTTTTTTATCTGGCGTACTGCGTGAAAAACGTTCACGAACTGATCGGATTATGATATTGTTATTATTTATCTGAACCACCATGTCTGCTTTCTTCAGTTAAGGAAGAGAAGCGAATGCCTCCGGTATTGAGCCACAGAGGACAACATTTATTAAGTTATCAAACAAAAAGTCAACTTCTTCGCCAGCTGTTAAGCATTAACACCAACAGCAATGCCCACGCTGAAATCGATCAATCTTGCTCCTACGGGCTGAGTAGGTAATTCAAAAAACCAACTTCCAAAACTAGGGAATCGCTCATCATGACCGTGACTACTTTATAGCGTGAAAGTGTGAAAAATGTCAACTTTAAATGAGTTGGCTCAAGAAGATTTTGAGGGAAAGAAAGGGCAAACTAATCAGTTGAATTAAAGCTGTATATGCGGCATGTATTAATCCTGTTCGGTGAGCTGATGGGCTGTAACCGCGTTTTTGACATTTTCCACTGACATTTCTCACCGAACAGAGCATTTGTGTATACCATAAGGGGTCTGAGTTTGATCATCGAGGTGTGTTCAAAAAGTATCGCGAATTTTGAATTTTCGCGGGTTATGTATAATCGAATTTCGATTTTTTTGTGTCGTTATGTTGGTACTCATGTCTGTCACTTATTCCGACAAGTTCTGCCATTTTAAATGTTCACTAAATTGTTGACAGCTGCTTTGCTTGCACGTGTTTTTTATGGTCTTCGATTTTTATCTATTCAAAAAAATGGATCAAAGAACCTGTATCAAATTTTGTGTGAAAAACGGAAATAAGTGCGCGGATGCATTCCGAATGTTGACTGTGGCATACGGAGAAGCTACCTTGGACCGAAGAAACGTTTATCGGTGGTACAAAATGTTCTCAGAAGGCCGAGAAGTGGTGAACGACGAAGAGCGTGCCGGACGCCCGAGCACTTCAACAACAGACCAAAAAATTAATTGCAGGGGCGTGGTGCATCATGAGTTCTTGCCACAGGGTAGAACGGTCAATAAGGAATATTACCTGCAATCCGCCAGAAACGCCCGGATTTGTGGATAGCGCCCCTGCTCACACATCGTTGCTTGTGCGCGACTTTTTGGCCAAAAACAACACACTAATGATGCCGCAGCCACCGTGTTCCCCAGATCTGCCCCCCTGCGACGTTTTCTTGGTCCCTAAACTGAAGAGGCCCATGAAAGGACGACGTTACGCTACGAATGACGAGATAAAGATGGCATCGAAGGAGGAGCTGAACAAGATAAAAAAAATGATTTTTTGAAGTGGTTCGAAAGATTGGAAAAACCGTTGACACAAGTGTATAATATCTCATGGGGATTACTTTAAAGTGGACAAAATAGATATTCATGAATAAATATATATATTTTGAAAAAACACAAATTCGCGATATTTTTTGAACACACCTCGTAGTCACCTTGACAGTTTTTTTCAATTTCCCATAATCCCACTAATCGGTTTCATGAGTTTTGAAATGATTGCGCTTAAAGAAAGTCTGTTATTTAAAAAAAAAAGGCTGTCTTCCACTGTCTTCCACAAACAATGTATGAATGTTAATATCTTACTTACGTTGCCTTGCTAATTTGCACCGTACAGTCGCCCACATTTTGAAAGCATAGAAAAGTACAAATACAACTGCATGCTCCAGTAGCCAAATTGCAAAAACATATTGAATCTTTTGCAGTGATGATTTAAAAGTGCCCAAACCAAAGTATACTCTGTGTAGATAGAGAAAAAAACTTAATAAATTTTTCTAGTTCACTCAAACACTCTAACAAAACAATCGGATTACTCACCTTCCTTCCGTCAAATAATCGTATGAAATGCTTTGTATAATTAAAATCAGAAAAATACATGCAAATATGTGATAAATAGTACGCATGTGGTCGACCTCCAGCAGCGCCGTTAAATAAGATTCCCGTATAACGAATACTTTATCAGGCAAAGGTCGAGGTTGCTTTTTATGTTTATTCTTTAAGTTGTCTGCTGAGTTTGTACTTTTCTCTAAGCCAACGGTAGACCCCTTCGACCCATTAGGCGTTTCCTTCGCCAATGGCACACGATTACTCCAGGTGTTGGTGTTTTGTGGCTTAGCGAATCCATGAAATTCGTTCGTTTGCAATTCATGTTGGCGGAGTTCCTGTACGACGCCCTCGATTTCTTCATCCAATCGTTTTTTGAAATCTTTAAGTAATATATTTTCCAAACCCAGTAAGCGTTCGCGTAGATAGTTGAGCTCGAATGGGCTGTTTTGCAATTGCGTGGAATCTAAGTGTGTAAAGAAAGAATGTTCAGATTTTTCGTTTCATGTATTAATTAATTTTAAATAAGAATTCTAAAAACGTTTTGGAAAATTAAAAAAAAATATGGTTGATACTCTGATAATGGTCAATGACTATCGATATTTAAATAAGCTTAATTGGGATTTCCGTTTAAAAATTGAACTTTATACCAAGTATTTAATTGTTTATTGACTTGATAAGTGCTAATATTTTGCTGCTCGTAAAATACGTATAAAACAGCTTAGAGCAAGTCACCTTCTGTGGTAAAAAAAACATAGAAAAACAGTTTAAAGTTTTTTACTCTTGTCATGATGCACAGTGCAGAAAACTCATAACAACATTGGAAAATTCCATTGTTTTTTTTATACTAAAAAGCGTTTTTTGAATAGCTTTTACCGCAATAATTTCCTTTTCTTTCAAAAAAATTAGCTGAAAAGCGCTTTATTGTCGGGTCCTTAAGCAAACTATTGTCTTGATACCGCACCATATTGAGATTAATTAGTATTTAAATTCGTATACGTTTATATTTAAATAAATATCATAAATACAATTATATTATTACATTTTATTTTTATTGAATATTATTAATTTTTTTTTAATTAATTCATTTTTAATTTATTTTATTGTTTTTTATTTTATTTTACCTTTCCTTATTTTATTTTATTTGTTTTCATTTACTTTATTACTTCCTTAGTTCATAATGTTAAATTGTATTTTATTTTTCATTTTTTATTATTTCTTTTCTATTTTTAATTATTTGCTTGCAGCCGCTTCAGAAAACTCATCAAATCATTGCGAAATTCAATGTTTTTATAGTAAAAATTATTTTTTTAAGGCTTGAATATTGTACATTATAGGCTAAAAAATAGCTTTTACTGCAATAATTTCCTTTCTTTAAAAAAAAAAATGCTGAAAAACGCTTTTTTTTCGTGTTCTAAAGGAAGCTAAGATTAATTAAATTTGTATACGTTTAGATTAAAAAAAAAAACATATTACTTAATGTAAATTGTTTTATTTTTTTTAACTGATTTAATTTGGTTTCATTCAATTTTTTTATTTTAATTTATTTCATTAGTTTTTATTTAAACCATTTTATTCAATTTCTTTACACTTTAACTTTATTTGCTTAATTTAAATTTGATTAATTTTGTTGTATTGTATTTGATTTAACTACAGTTCATTATTTTTTATTTTGTTTTTTACTTCATTTTTATTTAATTTTTAACTCACTTCATTTTATTATATTTCTTTTTATTTTATTAGCATTGTTTAATTTTTTTTTAATTTAATTTAAATTTATTTCACTTCTTTTATATTATTTTATTTTATTTTTTATAATTAAATCTACAATTTTGTAATGCATTTATTTATTTATATTTATTTATTAATGTTTATTATTTTATATTTTATTTTTCGTATACCTTTTATGCTCGTTGAATTTCATTTATTTAATTTAATTTAATCTTGTTTCTATTTTATTTCATCTTATTTTGTTTTCTTTTGTTTTATTTCAAGTTATTTCCTTCTTAGTTTATTACGTTATATTTTATTTTTCATTTAACATTATTTTATTTATTTATTCATTTTTCGATTTTATTTTTTTATTTCTTTTATTAATTAATTTTAGTTTATTTTCTATTCAATTTAATTTTGTTTTACTTAGTTTAAGTTGATTAAGGTTTATATACTTATTATTTTTATATTATATAACATTTAATTTAATTTTATTTTAAATTATGTTTATTTATTTTAATTAATTTTGTTTTATTTTTTTTGATGTCTTTTTTATTTTATGATATTTAATTTAATTTATATTTATTTAAGTTGATTTTGTTTTAAAATATTTTGTTACAAACTATTTATATGTAATATATTTGATTTTGTTTTATTTGATTAAATTAATTTAATTTGCTATTTAATGTAATTTAATTTTATGCTACTAAATTTTATCTCATTTTATTGTATTACATTTTATTTTTAATAAATATAATTAATTAATTTTGATTTTATTTCATTTAATTTTATTTTGTTTCATTATTTATATTTTGTTCCACCTTATTTTCTCTTTTATTTTTTATACTTTTTCTTTTGTTTTATTTCTTTATTATTTCATTACGTCAAATTGTATTTTATTTTTTATTTTATATTATTTCATGTCTTTATCTATCGATTTTTATTTGATTTAATTCATTGATTTTATTTAATTTAATTAATTTATTTTATTTTTTATTGCAGCTTAATTCTATTGTTTTATATTTGATTTGGTTTTCTTTTATTTCAATTAATTTATTTTATTTTATTCGATTTCATTTGATTATGTATTAATTTTATTATGTACTTTATTTTATTTTTATTTAATATCTAAAATTATTTTTGTTTAATTTCATTTTTTCATTTATTTAATTTTATTTTAATATTTTATCTCAATTTTTGTCTTACAAGTATTTTATTAGAAAATATTTTATTTATTTTTCTTTTATACAGTTAAATATTTTTTATTTAAGTTTTTTTTTAATAATTTTTTTATTTTTTTAAGTTTTATTTCATTTAATGTTGCTTTATTTTATTTTGTTTTATATTATGTTGTTAAGTGAGTTTGCTTTGATTATATTTTTATTAATTTTTTAATGTTTTTATTACATTAAAGATTACTTTTTATTTTTTTAATATTTTTTTAATATTTTAAACTTTATCTCATTTATTGTTTTTTATTTTATTTTGTTTTATATTATGTTGTTGAGTGAATTTGCTTTGATCATATAATATTTTTAGTATTATTTTGTTTACTTTTTTAATGTTTTATTTCCTTTCATATATTATTTATTTATTTTTTTCATTTTGTTTATTTTATTTCATTTCATTTTAATTTACTTTATTCAGTTATTAATATTAGTTTTTTTTTCTTTATTTCATTTTGATTTATTTTGTTTAATTTTATTTTATTTTACTTTTAATATATAAGATTTTACTTTATATATTTTTATTTTTTATAAATATCTGTAATTCACATTATTTTCTGATTTTTTTTTCATTTTATTTATAATTTATTTTACTTTAATATAATATAGTAATATAAAGTTTGGTTAAATTTAATTTAGTTTTCTTATTTATTTAATTGATTTTATTATATTTTATTTCATTTCATTTAACACAATTTTATATAACTTAAATTGATTTTTAATTAAGTTTTATTATTATTTTACAATCAATTAATTTTATTTTATTTTGTTTTTTTTTTTTTTTATTTCGTTTTCATATTTAGTTATTTTGTATTGTCAGTACTGTTGTTTTTAGCAAATGATGAGTGCTATTTTTCCAATCTATAAATATTTTATATTTATTTAAATAGAGTACTTTAAAATATCTCTCTTATGATTCGCTATTTCTTGGGTGTCGATATACTTTGAGGAGGTCGCCCATTGTCGCGTACCAAATTTATGTACATCTTATTAGTTTAATTTAATCTTTATATATGCAAACATATATATATACAAATGTACATGCATGATGTTGTGTATTTCCGTACTCAAATATTGTACATAAATATATATTTAAACGACTTTTTTCCACTTTATTTTTTTTTTTGCTTTCGAGTATCAATTATAGTTTTAGTTTACGATTGCAAAGATTATCAACACTTTTTACCGCCAATTTTATGAACCAGAGCTCGCAATTATGGCAATAAAGTGAGTCAAAAGCTAAACGCTTTAGTTGTTGCTAAATGTGCGTCTTAATTTCCATTTCACATTTTATGTTTAATTTTTTAATACAAATTTTTTCACACACTTTGTTTAATAAACACATGTCCTTATATTTATATATTTTATATTCTGCTTTAATTTTTCACCACAAACTCCGCTTTTGACGTTCGTCTTACCCTTCTGCATATTGTCTTCACTTGGAAGCGCATTAATTTGATTTGATGGCACGTCTTGAGCACATGCAATATTTCGATCAGTCATTTCTTCTTTGAATACACTTTTTGATTTTCTTCCTTAAAATTACTATTTCAAATGGAGAATCGCACTATGAAAACACCCGAGCGCTGCACGGGTAAACAAAAAAAAAAAAAAAAAACGGTGGCTTGAACGGCTGTCTGAATGCAATTAAAGTAAAAACTTTGAAGCTGCGTAGCGGACGATTCTGAAAACGACACGACTTTCCTTCTCTATTAATGTTGCGCTGATCGCTACTCCGCGCGTTTTGATGAGCCATTATAAGATTGAGACATTTTTATACCCCATACATGCGGTGGCTATACCAGAGGCAGTTGATAACGATCGTTGATTACTAAGTACATTGCTATGTAGGTACTGTTGGATTTGTTCACCGATACGTACTTATGTACATATATAGATATGTACTCGTATATATGAACACTGACTTCACAATTTTATGTTCATGCTCTCTTCGAGTACAAAAAGTGTGCTGTTGCTGGATTACGGTTTTGTTTTTTGTTCTTCTGAAATATCGGCGATAAGGGCGATTAGCCGGCTGTAAGTTTTATAGCTTATACGAGGGTGGCGCAAAAAGTATTTGAAAATGACAAATTAACACTAACATCATTTTATATAGAATTTTCAACTAAAACAACTTCGACCATGCACAATTTCGTTTCATTTGGTACGTACTTCGTTAAAGAAAAATTTTGAAAGTCTCAAAAATCAACATGTAGGGTTCAGCTTTTAATTTTTATTAGAATTTATTATTTCCTTTTCTTCATGGTCAAGTGGTTACCATTGCGTACTGCCGTTTTGAGCTACAAGGTTTAAGTCATGGTTCGACCAACATGCAAAATTACAGAAACTCAATTTTTCCAATTGCCGTCGCCCCTTGGCAGGAAATGCCAAACTCTCGGAAGCGGCTTAAAATAAGCTATAGATTCTATATAGGAGCTCGGCCGAAATTCGCTTCAGCTGACACAGAAGTGCCAATTATATTTATATATATTCTTATCACTAAATATTTTGTGCAAACTTATTGATGCGCCCTCGTATAACGCAACCATAAACCTCGATTAGCTGGAGTGCAAAGTAATCAAAAGCATTACGCTAATACATATTGACAATAATAGCGTATGCACCGATAGGTGTTTCGCAAACTGACGTAGACGATTTGTATATACATACATATGTATGTTAATATGAAATGAATTGTCAATATGCTTAGAATGACAGATTGTGCGCTTATCACCGATTACCATTCAACGAATTAAACTAGATCAGTAATGAAAACAGTGTTTTTTCGGGATTTTGATTTCATTTTTAACATCAGAAAATTGTAATTGAGAAGTTGTAAAATAATGAAAAAAAGTTGTTAAAAAAAACTTTAATTAGCTCATTATGCAAGAGAACAGTTTACAGTTTTAGGTGCTGGGATTTTGCAGACGTTACTTTGACATTCTTACTCAGTTACTTCCATCTGAATTCTTCTTATAACGAGTATATGTACTTCGATTCATGAGAAATAATGCAGTTTTCGATTTTTGAGCTGTTCAGTTTAACCGTAATTAGGTCAATTTAATTTTCGGTTTTGCTTGGTAACTGTCACGTATCTGTTTTGGTCTGAGTTCGCTACTAGAATAGAATAGAATAGAATAGAATAGAAGGAATAATGAACCGCTTAGGTTGTTTAGGCTTTTTCAGAAGATGTAAAAATGAGTAGTAAATGTCTCAAAAGTGGCTTCAAAACAGAATAAGAACAGCAAACCTATTCCTAGTTACGCTAAAATCAGGTAATGCAGTAAACTTTTTAAGGGATTTTTGATTCCCTTAATCTTCCGATTTCATAGCGATTGAGAACTTTTTGAAGTTTTTAACTTAGAAAATTTATATGGGGAAATTGTAAGCAAATACACTACGTTTATGCTTCAATTCTACTCGGTTAGATTAAACTCGCAAGCATAAACACTTTTTCACCACGAATTAAGTTGAAGTGTTAACGCGGTAGTATAAACGCGGGTTGAGTTGAAATCAGCTGATTTGCATTTAACTTAATTGAAGCAGAGTTTTCGTGTTTCGAACTTTTTGCCAAAAATAAAATTGTTTACCTAAAATTGACTAAAATTTCTCAAAGTTGCGCTTGGTAGCCCTGATATTAACTCCATTGTGAATTCAACTCGAGTAGAATATTTGGTATTTATACTTGTAGGCTTAACCCGTGTATTGTAGAATAAATCCGAGTGGAAATGAAGCATACACGTAGTAATAGATGTACTGCTTGGCGTGGTGAAAGAATATTACTCAGTATATAAATATCCTTACCGAAATATCTCGAGTTATTTAGTTGAGTAACTCGGCTTTATTTGAAACACTTTAAAAGAGCGCTTTAATTTTAGCCAATACTGTACTCGTGTATGCCGTCTCGAATTAAATACTTCCCGTTCGGAAGATTCGGTATTCCGCGGTCCGTTTCGTTTCAATCTATCGTAGCTTAAGATACTATAAACTTCTATATGTTCGGCATTTCGATCATTGTTACGTTTTGCTACATTGCAATTAAGTTGGTGTAAAACGGTGAGATTTTTTATTTTTGTGTACATTAATAATACAGCTTTTTCCAAAATTGTTAGTAAAAATTGATTTTGGTGTGGTAAAAGCCAAGATTATGGTTTTTTTTTAGATCTAGAACTTCAATTATGCTTTTTGAAACAACACAAGAACGAGATGAAGAAGTGTAAGACTTTTGAAAGAACGTACTAATGCTCTGAACTCAGGGGATACCTCATAAAAACACATTGTTTCGTCTCGGGGTTCGGAAGGGGTGCCGGTCCTTCAGGAAGCTGTAATAAATCCCTAACTTTCTCCAAATAAAAGGCACGACATGGGTTTTTGTATATTAAATAATTCAATAAATTTTATTGAATTATATGAATTAATGTAAATATATATATGTGTAAAAACGAACACACTCACCCAAAGATGTTGCTGCTGTGGCTGTTGCAGAAAAAAGAGGCGGAACTAGTCTTTTAAAGAATTCCACAGAAGGTGGAAATCTGAAACGGGGCTAACCGGACTCTCCATAACTTTGAAGAGTCTTATATTAACGAAAAACAGCAGCGCTATCTGTTGGTGAATGTTATGGCGGCTGTCCAGGGTTGCACGCATAAACACACATCATGACTTCGAGAAAATTATCTTAAAGCAGCTACTACTTGATTAAGTGGGGATAACGATGTAAAGGTACTTGATTGAGTTTTTTCCGCTAAGGTATTTACTTAGAGCACTGTAAACCTCTCCTTGTTGGAAGGTTTTCTCTCAAATAGAATACAGACATTGTTATTGATTTCATTTTGCGCTAGAAATACAATACAATTTTTTTTTAATTTATTTAATTTGAGGCAAAAATACAATACAATTTTTTTTTAATTTATTTAATTTGAGGCAAAGCAACAAATAGGCAATCCAGAGACTGGTGCTTGTACACTTTTGAAATCCTTAGTCCTGTTGGCAAATAATCGGCACAATCAATTTTCACTTGGGGCTTCTCAGCAGCCAAATCATTTGACATAGCCATGAACGGAAGGTAATCACTTGGTCCGGACTTTAAGCTGGGTGATTGCCTGATCATACAGATAGCTCATAGTGGCTGCTTCCTTGACAATCCCACCAGGCAAACAACAAACTTTCCTGACCGTCAATCCTAGCTAGACGACTATTTTTGTCGGCACACTGCCTCTCAACCACTATCGTACGATTTGCAGTTGCCCATGAGGTATTTCCCCGTTTGCTCATGTGGCCCCTATACATCGAGCTTCTTTTGTGTATCCAGCCATTTTCAAGTGGTTTCGAATTCTTTTTTTTTTTAATATTTAGCCGCTGAGCCAACGAAACAGTGCTCTCATGACGGTCAGACTCGACAATTTCCACTATTTTTCGAAATTTCTGACAATTGACCTTCCACACCGTGGATTTTTTTTTACATCAAAATTACCGGAACGAAATCGACAAAACTAAATATGTGCATGTTGGATGATTACAGTATCCGGATTATCGAAAAATAGTACTAGAATGCAACGAATTTTCTCTTTGCTTGTGCTCACCTTTGACATGCGCTCAAGCACTAATGAGTTAAGTGAGCAACACTTCTCCCATTTTTTTGTTTTTTTAGTACACATTAGCATCATTCTAACCTCATGAACCAATCGCACTTATATTGTATATAGAAAGCGAGATATAGATCACTAAAGCCATCTACTAGGAAAATAATGGATGAGTTGTTAATTTAGCTAATAATATAATTGACGCTTTATAACCGCTACAGCAATTTTCGGCCAAGCTTCTCTCCAATTTGTGGTATGCGTCTACGTAGGAAGGACTTACAATCGATTTTAAGCCGACTCCGAACGGCCGCTGGATTTTTGTGAGAAGCTTTTATTTTATGTCAGAAACACAATCGGAGGGGTTGACATCCGCTGTCCCTTTTGCGAGTTAGGGTCTCAAGAATTTACCCGCGGTAAGGCTGCTTGTCGTAAGAGGCGACTAAAGTCCAATAGTTCACGCAATAGTCGGGTCTTTATGCCGGAACGACCCGGGTTTTTATCCGGCCAAGGACTGTCACTCACGCAACATTCCCCAAAAAATATTTCGGGGAATATTTTTGAGATTACGACAACAACAACAAAAACAACAACAATATATTAACAAGATTAATTTTTGGTGTTAGTTGAACTGGAACTCGAACCTTGGCCTTCCGAATGGCACTGCGAATTGCTATTCACTCGGCTATTATGGCCGCAATAAGAATGTTTAAATTCAGATGAAAAAATTGGTTTAAATTATAATATTGTTGATGTTGAGATCACTCGACGTAAGAGTTTACATACATATATTTAATTTTCAAAAAATCAATCAATTAAAGTAAAATATATGTATATATGTATAATTTTTCCAATTAAAATAAAAATGGTTTGAATTATCGAAACTCAAAATTTAGTTATTGTTAATAAAGTGAAAATCTAAATGCAATATGTGCTATCAATTCAACTACACTACAACTATACTATCGAAGGAAAAAAATATTTTTTAAATTTCGGGATCGTCACGGTATTGACTTAGCTGGAAAAGAAATTCCCAAAATTTTCAGCACAAGCTTTCGTATTGTGGAGTAATTCATATTATTTGCTCCATTTTTATTTTTTTATTTTTTATTTTTTTCAATATGTACTTGTACCTCTATTAATGTATGTATGTATGCATATTTTTAAATTTTCATTATTCCGCTTAGGGCAACGTAATCGCGTACTTTACCCCTTAAATATTTATTTCACATA